GTTATCGCATTTCAAAAATCTTAGATTTCGGCCTGATTTGGCCTGATCAGGATGGCTGTCTGATCAGATTGCTTATCAAACACGTTAGTTAGTGCAGAAGCTGTTTGATTGAGTGACCGGGCCCGAATTCAATTCACGGCAGCAGGCATAACATCACCATCTGTGCAACACAACCTTGATGACAGCAACTCAACCCACGACTTTAATGCATCTTTGCTGCAACAGTTGACAGAGCTGTGAGACAACGTTGAAAGTAAGATCGATTTTTCTTGCATCACTCTGCGCTCATGACAGAAGGATCATAGATGTCAATGAATACGCCAAGGAATCTCCACCATCCCACCTCCCTCTGGGTCGCGTGCTTCACTTTGTGTGATGATCCATCAGTATGATGAGCCGTACAGACGCCACGATGACGCCGTACCTGCATGTTGAAGAAGAGCTTCGTCTCATATTTGCGTGCTGCGATTGTAGGATTGCTTCCGTTCATCTTTCCTCTCGACGTTGACATCGTACTGAGCACATTTGAACAACATCTACCAAACCTCATCAGTAATACTTTCACAAGCAATCATGGCAGAGAACAGAGCAGAGGGCAACAAGGGCCAGTTCAGCGCGTCTGCGCCACAGCCTGAGCCGACTATCACCAGCAAGGTAAGAAGCTTGCTGTGCTGAACGTTGCAATGACTTCCGTCCTGAGAGCTTGCTAACATGACCTCAGCACCAACCTGGCAAGATCATTCCAGGCAGCAACGATGCTGTCCCCGAATTCGAAGCAGAAGTTCTCCCAGCGGGCAGTGCCCCACCAAAGAACACATTCGAGCCACAAACAGAAGGCGAGGTCCCTCCAGTCCAGAACTACTACAAAGATGGCGTAGGCGAGGGCGAGACGACCAAGGCCTCAGACACCATCGTGGGAGCAACATCTGGGGATGTGCACCAGGGCCTCGGCAAGCCGGTCCAAGGCCAGACTTCGAAGGAGTTGCATGATGGTACTCATACCAGGGCTGGAGTGGAGGGTGTTGGTGGCAGTGCGAAGCAGGCTACGGTCGATCCTCACGATCCTCAGCATATTAGCCAGCGTGCATTGGATAAGGACGAGGCGGTGGTAGGACGTGGTGAGAAGGCTTCCGCGGAGGATCGTGTGCCTGAGCCCGCGGAGACTGTTGCTGCCGAGAGGAGATAGAGGCTTTCTGATCTAGAAGCCCATACATGGGTCATGACTTGGATGAGCTATGAGTTGTTCGAACCTCAGACTGTAATCAGCATTTGCAGTCCAGTTGATTAGTTATTGCAGTTGCAATGTGATCTTCAGTAAGATTGATCAAGCATTGTCTGCGTTTCGTGCCGGGACCAGATCATCTTATACCATCAGTACTGAGTTCTTCGTGGGCAGCAGTGGCATTGAGTCTTGATGGTGAATGATTGTGTGTGGTTGCTGTATGTGTTTGAACAGCATTGGAAAGAACTCTCTTGGTCATATTTCGTGACCTCTGTCCTCGGTCATAATTCGTGGCGCAACACTTTGCCTCGGCCTGGAGCAGCTAGCGACGGACCTCGACCTCGCCATCGATTACAGAACTAAAGCGCGGTAGAATAGGACGGTAGGTTTGTCTGTTCATTCCTTCTTCTTTCTTGGGCATCCCTCTATCAATACTCAAATCATACCGAACAAAAAGCCCATCATGTCGGCCGAAGCAGACGTCAAGCTCAATGACTTCAAGAACCTCTTCTCGCTGCAAGGCAAGGTAGCTGTCGTCACCGGCGGCTCTCGAGGCCTGGGATTGCATGCTGCGTCTGGGTAAGGGAACCACTCTTCCCATACATCATTCTCTCGTAGCTGGCACTAACGGAAGCGCTACTCACAGTCTCGCTCAAGCCGGCTGCTCCAAAATCTTCATCACATCCCGCAAAGCGAAAGCCTGCGAAGAAGCCTGCGCCGCTCTCAATGCCCTCCCAAACACCCAATGTAAAGCCATTTCCGTCCCCGCTGATATCGCAAAGCCCGGAGAAGTCGAGAGACTCGTGAAAGAGGTAGAGAAACACACCGACAAAGTCGATATCCTATTCGCCAATGCCGGCGCAACATGGGGCGAGGAATTCGATACACACCCTGAAAATGCTTTCCAGAAGGTCATGGACTTGAACGTCAAGAGTGTATTCGTCTGTTCTCAGAAATTCGCACCTTTGCTTCGTAAGGCAGGTTCGATCCAGGATCCTTCACGAATTATCATCACTGCGTCGATTGCCGGTATTGGTGTTGGAACTTTGGGTAAACAGGGAACTTATGGATACAGTGCTTCAAAGGCAGCAGCGCTTCACTTGGGCAAGAATTTGGCGCTTGAGTTGGGACCACAGGGTATTCTGGTCAACAATATTGCACCCGGCTTCTTCCCTAGCAAGATGGCTAGTGGTCTCATGGAAATGAGCGGTGGTGTGGAGAAGCTCGCGGCTGCTAGCCCAAATAAGAGGTTGGGTCACCCTGAGGATATTGCCGCTGCGGTGGTGTATCTTTGCAGTCGTGCAGGCGGGCACTTGAACGGAGCGACTATTGTACTGGATGGTGGTAGTGTGTTGCAGGCGAAGCTGTGAAAGTACGACAGAATGTGTACAGTGACCGATTAACGTCAGATGTTCCTGTCATCTCAAGCAAATTTATGCCGAAAGACATTGCTGCTTCGCCATTCGATCTGCTGACATTTGCACAGGTCATCATGCAACCGGTTGATGTCAGAACTGGCGTTTCTCGCACATTCCGTCAAGCGTTCTTCAGCGTGGGTTGCCACTGTCAGGCTTGGGTCCGGCGAATTGCTTGACTGCCACTCATACTAATACGATTCCATAGGGGAGCAAACGATGGGTTGCCACAGTGGCGCTCTTCGTGCTTTGGAGGCGTACGTCTAGAAAACGTATTCTCCCTTTGTCCTTGTTGTCCAACCTCGACGAAGATCCAGGGCAATTGACATGTCAATATCTCCAACGCATTTCTGATGGGATCATTCACAGATACTGCAGCTGGCGCGTGCAAGTGCAAGTGCACATGCTCGTATCATATGTTAATTACTCGTCGAGGAGCTCGATTGACCACACTCGTGAATGCGAGCGGCGCGAACAAGCACATGCAATGGCACCGGATCGCAGTACAGGCTATTGTCGGAGTGGCCGCGATGCAACCTTCAACTTCGCCCGCAGACCATCCGGACCACGTCCAGGCCAGACTAATCAACTCAAAAGCAGACGATTGCCGCGCGCACTGAATTGATCGGTCGTCTCATCGAGACCGCATTATCGAAGGAGCGTCATTGGGTTGCTGACGGAGATTAAGAGAGCTCGAAGAAGAGGCTCGGCAGCAGAGTGCACGAACATGGCAAAGTTCTTGTTCTATGCGGCACTCCTGGCCATCAGTTTTCAACTTATCGTCGGACTCTCTATTCGCAAAGTTGCCGGGGCCAACAGCCCTGATGCACTGGATGTCAGCTACCACGAAGCTATTGTCGACGGTAAACAAGCCCTATCGACACAGATGATCCGAGGAGTCAACATCGGTTCTTGGCTGGTGCTCGAAAAGTGGATGGTGTCTGGAATTTTCGAGGGCACCAATGCCACTGATCAATACACATTCGACTCAACGCCAGGCGCCGAAGGCAAGCTGCGAACTCATTGGGAGACTTACTTCACCGAAGCCGATGTCCAGAAAATCGCATCGTGGGGTATCAACGCGCTGAGGATACCCGTCGGATACTGGTCTTACGACAATTCCGGCACTCCATACATCGCAGGAGCTGACGCTTACCTGGAAAAGGCCATCGGCTGGGCAAGAGCACATGGTCTCAAAGTCGTTATCGATTGCCATGGGTCACCTGGTTCTCAAAACGGCTTCGACAACAGCGGCCAGTTTGGTAACATACGTTGGCAATCTGGTGACAATCTGGACAAGAGTATATCTGTCTTGAAGGTCATCGCTCAGAAGTATGGCTCCAAAGGATATGCCGACGTAGTGCTTGGACTGCAACTCGTCAACGAACCGGCTTCCTGGGGAGATAACAACTTCGACATTACCAAAGAATGGACACAACAAGCTTACCACGCCGTAAGAGCTGCTGCGACGAATCCAAACCTACTGGTTGTGATGCACGACAGCTTCAAAGGTCCTTGGAGCTGGGTCGACGTCGGACAAGTCTTGAACGGCAATGCTTTGAAAAGTGAGGCAAACTTCGCCATCGACACGCACCTGTACCAGAATCAACAGAATGCTGACTCGTGGCTCAATCAAGACCAGCACATCCAGAAGGCATGCAACTGGACGAAGACAGATCTGCTCCCTGCACAGACCTCACTGCCAGTCTTCATTGGCGAATTCAGTGCTCAGACGAACATCTGCGCGTTCCCCAATGGCTCGACAGTTGCTGGTTCGAAATGCGACGTGGATGGATGCCAATGTTCTTGCAATGTTGACATTGCATATTGGCGGCCCTGGCTGGTGAACGCGACGAGGACGTTCCTGGAGGCAGAACTCGATGCCTTTGAGCACTCGTCTCAGGGTTGGTTTATGTGGTCGTATAAAGGGCCTGGTGCTTGGGGCCTAGACAATCTGGTCAAGTATGGTGTGATTGGGGCGAAAGTCACAGAGAGGATGTTTCCTGGGCAGTGTTTGTTCTCTTGAGCAAGCATCTTGATTATGGTATTCGTTGTCGCGTCGCCTTATCCATAGCCGAATCTGATTGCATCGCATGGCAGATACGCGACCATGTCCTTTTCTTCATTAAGGCAATCCATCTTATAGCATGAGGTCGAGGAGAGGTACGCCCTGGCTGGGCGGGATAAGCAGAGAGAGGTGCGGCAGCTGGGCCAGGTTGGAGAGGTGGAGCACGATTCGAGATGGAGCTTCGGGATTGGCCCGAGACCCTACCACCCATCCCTCGCACCTTCCAAGTCACATGCCACTCGTTCCTCCCACACCTCACATGCTCGTGAATGCCTCGCCGCGCTCGATGCGATAATCAGTCGCTGCACAACTGTTTTGCGAGTTTGACACTGATATTATCAACAGAGTAAGATCACCAAAGTCGTTTGCGACTCGGCAACGCGTCGCTCGTATCTTCCCGAGCCTCACAACAGCGACCGGCCGCTGGCCGCGAAAGATCACCACGTGAGAGGGCTATCAACACGTGAGCTGGAGCGTGAGAAGGGCAAGAGGTATGTGTCGCGCTTCCGTTCGAACCATCCACGAGCACCACCACCGTCGAGCGCCGAGACAGCGTCTTGCACGTCGCTGCGCCGAAGCTGGTGGCCATGCGACGCCGTCGACCTTGCTGCAACGAGCTGCCAGCATCTCGACGACCGCGACCGCGACGACGACGACGACTCGTGCGGTCGGAGATGTCGCGGGTGGAGCGTGCGGCGCAATAGCAAAGGCGACGCCTTCTGCGATCAGCGCTGGCAGCATGAACGGCATCTGCGCAGGATACGGCCTCGACTTGCATGCACAGAGGGTGCTGCGAGTTGCTCACGTCCTCGTCGCGATGTTGGCGCATGACCTCCACCACTCCACCACCTCCTTCACTGCGGTCACATGGACGCGCGACTCTAATCACCATCCAGCTGACTTGTTCTAGACATTCACGAGCTCCTCGAGCCTCTCTTCAGGAACTTCTAGGCACGCGTGGTCCTTCCCGAGACACGGCAACACATATTCCCCTCGCATTCCACGCTGCTTCCATTCGACAGCCCAGTACCACCCCACTTTCCACCAGCGACCACAATGGCCGCTCTCGCAAGTAAGAGAAAGCGCGACACGAACGACCTGCCACAAGCTCGACCGGGTCCCGGGATGAATGCGCACGACTTCGACCAGCCATACAACCTCAATGATGATGACGGCATGAACCAGCACGCCAACGACATGGCCTTTTCGACACTGGCTTCCCACAATGCCAACGTCGGCGACTCCGGCGACCTACACCAAGATCATGGAGATATGCACGCGCACCATAACATGGGACACCAGCCGGTACAGAGCGCGAGCGACACCGCAGCGGCCGCCATGGCGCAATACCACACGATGACCGTACCCCAATCAACAGAGCAGTCATTCTTGAACCAAGCGAACGACCAAGGCGGCGATAGGCCTCAGAATCTGGACCAAGGCAACCTTGGTGGTCAGCAGCGAACATCGAGTTTCGGCGACTTTGACCACAACGTCCCACACGAATTGGCTCCGGCGCCTCCGAATGGAGCCGGATCACCCACTGGAAAGGGCGCAAACAATGGGCAGGGCAACCCGAAACCCCAAGTCGGGACTGAGGAGTGGCACAAAGTGCGACGGGACAATCACAAAGAAGGTGGGTACCGCCCTTGTCTACAATCTAATCGACCATGCTAACCTTTATCCAGTTGAACGCCGACGTCGAGAGACGATCAATGAGGGCATTAACGAGCTCGCCAAGATCGTTCCAGGCTGCGAGAAGAACAAAGGCTCGATTCTTGCTCGCGCCGTGCAGTTTATTACACAGCTCAAAGAGAACGAAACGCAAAACATCGAGAAGTGGACCCTCGAAAAATTGCTCACCGAACAAGCTATTGCCGAGCTTAGCTCCAGCTGTGACAAGCTCAAAGCTGAATGTCAACGTGCCTGGGCCGAATGCGAGCAATGGAAGAAAGCGGCGCAAAGTGCTGGCGTCGGTATCGACATTGACGAGAAGGATGTGAACGACGGCGACGATGTCTAGCAGACGCGTCTCCTCCGTCAGCAGCAGCAGTAGGCGTTCGGGTAAAGGGTCTTGATAGGGACTGCCACGAAGTTCTTGGTAACTATTCTACGCACTAGACCAGACTTTGAGGCGGAGCAACTCATACGCGCAGAGGAGTTGGGACTTTCTCTTGTTTTGGCGGAACCTGCCAGCACAGACATGATCGGCGTTTGGGAATGACGAACGGATGATACTCCAGGGAGCTCGTTTTCTTGCTAGTTATGGCTTCATTATGCCTTTTTGGTAGTGCTGTGTGCGAGCAGCTCGCATTACGAATTTCGAATTGATTGCAATCGCCTGGCAAGTCACTTTTCTAAGAGACTGCTTCTGTACTTTCGATTTACAGGCTGATCAGTGACCATGTTCCTTCCTCAAAACTCCGCGCTGGATGCTAGTGCTGTCCAAAGAATGCTGACCCTAGAGATCATCAAATCGTGACACCGCTCTTTCCTCCATCTAGTAGAGCCAGACAGCAATAAGTCTAGTAAAACGACTCGACCATAGACTCCTTGTTCTGCTGGATCGCGCTCGGCCCCATGCCCTCTCCCAATTTGAACACGGACTCAATCACGCTCAGCTCAGTGGCAGTCGTATCCAGACCTGTGACTGCCATCCAGTCGTTCACGACCATTCCAGCTCCGACCACGGGGCTTCCGCGGTTCACACTGCCAGCCACAAGCGGCACCTGCAACAAACTCGACAGCTCATCCTGATCCTGTATCGAAGTCTTCGGATGCACAATCCCACCCTGATTCGACAACGACATATAACTCCCCGTCAAAACATTATCCGCAATCGTCTGTCTAAAAACCTCCACACCAAGCACATCCGCTATAATTTCTTCCGTCTCGCGTTCCAAGTCCGGGTGTACGAGCGCGACATGATCGTTTGCGCAAATGACGTTTCCGAGCGCGGAGAGGCGTTCTTCTATCCGTTGAATTTTGACTTCGTCGGGGATGGAATTTCGGAGGTGTTGGAGTTCTTGGTCGGTGGTCGAGGTGGGGACTAGCAGGCCTTTTTTGTTGCCTGCTGTGAGGCGCCCGATTATGCGGGTGCCGTTGATGGTGCAGTGGCAGATGGGGATTACGTCTTGGAGTTCGGCTTCGAAGACGGAGTAGAAGTTTTCTGAGGCGCCGACTGCGACGAGGGCGTAGGAGTTTGTGAGGGTGGAGAAGACGCCGACTCTGTTGGTGCGTAGAGGTGTGTGGTTAGTATGTGTTTTGCGCGATGAAAATGCACAGGTGGGGTAGGTCTTACTCGTTGGAGTTTTCGAAAGAGGCGCGGACGGCCATGATGGTGGATGCGGTTTGGGTGTTGCTGAGAGATGCTGTGGTGTCCAATGCGGCGGTCTCAAGTATGTATTTTTGGTGTTGAAGGTGAGGTGCGGTCAATCTGTCTGCTGTTCTTGCGATTGAGCTGCGGCGATGAGGTCAGATTTTGAAAGGGCTTGTGGCGTTTTCAATTGGGAAGGCCCGTTCGACTCATCTTTTCCGCACCGCAGCCACAGCCACAAGAATGAATCACCCCCGCTCGCTCACAATCACTCATCGCTTCCTACCGCGCTAGAAACTGCTTCGAAAGTGAGTCACAGAATGGGCAATACTCGGCTGCATCTTTCGTGCTTGCCAATGCCATGCGAGAGGTAGTTAGCGACGGAAGCATTTGTTCCGCTTCCACCGCTGCAGGCGTTGCATCGCGCATTGGACTGGACCCAGACTCCAGAGTTGCAACTTCTGTATCGGAGGTTCACAGCTCGTGCAATGCCACGCGATGTATCGGCATGCGCTGCCGTTGAAGCATACCGCTACCTGCTCTGCCTCTGCAGACTGTTGATGATAACCGAATTGCAGTATAGTCCCGAAGGTCTTCCCCAATGGCATGTTCAAAAGGACCGATGCTCTGTGACAGCCAATGCCTCCACGACCGAAGCCCTCAACAATCGTCCCGTACAGACGGTGATCCTGTTTCGGCAATGCCGCACCATTGCGATGACAGGGCCCGCGAATATGGTCAGTATGGGCAAGCACGGCCTTAACACCAGCGGTTGCAATGTGAACAGCTACAATGACTCGCCGCAGTCCTGTCTCCTTACTCCCTTTCGCAAGCAACGGTGCCTTTACACTTCACAGAAACGGTCTCATGCTTTGCGAGAGGAGTGACCGCTATCTGCGCAAGGAACTGTCCATGTTCTGTGCACAGGGGATGCCTTGGACAAGCGGCATGCCAACACGGTCAAGGCATCACGGTGGCGTTGTGCACACTCTTGAAGCACAACGCTAAACCCGTCCGTTCGACCATAGTGGTATCAGCTTCCAGATCTACCCGTGCACGTCCAACTTCTGAAACACTCTCGATGTCCTGTTGCGGCGTGCACGGTCGCCGTCCATGGGCCTGGGAGCAACAGCAGCTCGGGAGGTGGCATTCGGGTATTCGAGTGGACCACGAAACAGGCCTGACGTGCAGGCGGGCACTGAGGTGACGCCACAGCAGCAAACAACCACATGCTTGCCCCAACAATCGATGATTGAACACACGCTCGCACGCCATGTGCGATAGAAGGCTTTCCCATCCAACCTGAAACATGTCATGGAGTCGCGAGAGTTCAGCAGTCGACGAGTTTCGGACCGGACAATCCCACGCTACGGATGACTTGCAGCAATCGGACTTTGCCCTGCACGCCACTAAAAGGAGGGGGCCGATCCGCGGAGAGGCTGCAATCTAGTCTAGGCGTTTACTTTCTGTCGTGCGACTCCACGACAGCAGGTGGCCTCGCGCCATAGGCGAGTCGGCGAGCGGAGGGTTGCGCGCGAATGAGTCGGCTATGAAACAGCTGCAGCACCAGAATGCCACCATCTGTGCTCACCGACTCCTGCCTTGCTGCGGCAAGCTGGAACGTCTTTGTGCGGCCGGTGGAGGTGGGAGATGGGAATGGCCGGCAAGGCGGTTGCTGGTATGGTATGGCAGACGGCGGGACACGGGGTGCTGAGTGTGAGCAACCGCGGATCGACCAACACGTATAATAGCAGACTGTCGAATGATACAAGAGACAGACTGTGAGAAGTGGTGAAATCGGAGGTTGCGCGCTCGGCAGAGGCGTGAGGCCCACCGTGGCCCGCGCGGCGCCTCTGGCTCTAGCGTTCGACCCTGGATATCGCTGGTGGAGGAGCCACTCCACGTAGAACTTACTTGCGGGCGTGCGAGGATACTCTTTCTCTTATCCCAGAGCCGCAAGCTGGCTTGTCGTTCCGCCCTGCCTGCGCTGTGCGTTTGCCTTCTTCTTCCTCCGCTTCTCTTCCCTCGCTTGCCTGTACATTCATCAACAACAGAGGCGCATTCCGGCGCATTTCCCAGCAGCGCGATCCCTTGCAGCCGCGAGCGTCGCCCGACGACATATCAGCCAGTGCCTGCCTGCCAGCTCGCCCTCTTGCGCGCCCTTCCCTTCTGATGCCAGGTGCCTTGAAATTAGTCTTCACTCGCGGGAGGGATCAGGCATTCTGCACATAGTCTGCACTCCCCAATCACATATCGCCGCCTCCCAACTGCTATTGCACCGCTGGCCTACTGCGCTGCTGCTGCTGCTGCCGTTCTTCAGCTCCACCACCACTTGTACATGCCCTCGCACGCCGGCCCAGTGCTCAGACTGTACCCTCGCGCGCGGCAGAGTACGTATTCTCGTCCGATCTGCCAGCTACTTAGCTTGTCGTGGCCGGTCCACCAGCAGGAGCTGTCTGCCTGCCTGCCCGCCGCCCGCTTCACGAATCGCCATCTGGCGGCTTGCTGACTGCCCGAACCTGCACAGCGCACCAGCCCACCTGAGGCACTTTGATCGCATTTCGATTCGCCCACGACACGCGACCGCTCAGCACAGGACAAACTGTAGACTACCGCACCACCTCTACCTCCACCTCAAACGATATATCTGACGATCTTCACGGCCAACCATACATTACCCACCCTTCTCGAACATATCTTTGTATAATGTCTCATGGTGCAACGGGCACCGCCAACACAAACACCAACATGGCGTTCACGAACGCAGTAAGCTTTCCTAACTCGCAGCATGTCTGGGCTCAGCTGACCTCTTGCGCAGGCACGATCGTTCAACAGTGCCAGAAGTACAACCACAACCGAAAAGAAATCCAACACGAACGGCATTGTCAAGCCAGCTGCGACAGGGAACACATGGGGCGGCACCACAATATGGAGCAGCGGAGCAAATGGCTTCGCGATGCCCTCACTAGCTCGAGAGAATTCCTCGTCGCGTGAGCACAATCCACAACCATTGGCAGCCAAGGCTGCTGAGGACATTGAAGGAAAGACTGGTTCGGGATCGCTCGTGGAGTCGTCGATCTCCGAGGACTATGCGAACAGATCGTGGGCCAAGCGTGGATCCATTCCTGGTCGTACTCTATCGAGCGGGCTTCCAAACGACAACATGCTGTCGCAACAACGAAGTGGGAGCAACGCCGGCTTGCAAGCCATGTCCGGCGCGAGCCAGAATCTCATGGGCTTTGGGACGCGGCCACCTACGATCAATCTCAATCAGGCAGGGCAGCCTCGACCGCGATACAGTTCCGCTTTTGAAATGAAGAACGACTTCAGCGTGCGCTCCAGCGAACAGCCGCCATTCAACGTATATACTAAATTCGACCGACCGATCGATCCCTCGCACCGGAAATCCGAGTTCGCCAACGGCTATAAATCTTCTGCCACACAATCGCCCAGCGACGAGAGACGGCCTCCATTCTCTTCACAATACAATCGCAATGCTAGTATGCCTGCCTCCCGAGACGGCAGTCTGCCATCATCCCGCGGAGCAGAGGAGCCTCCTTCCTTCACGCGCCCAGACTATGGCAGATCGTCACAACGCGCCACACCGAACAACTCGCGCGCTCCCTCGATGTCATCGGGTCGCAACGGAGCTTACAATCCTTATTTCAACGTCGAACACGTCGCCTCGAACATGCAACAGTTCTCATTCAACGGCGAGAACCGATCACCCGCTACGTACAAGCCGATGAACGGCTTTCAAGGTTCGCATCCAGTAGCTGGTTCACGACCAAGCACGCAGGCTGGCAACAACTTCTACCACAACCATGATGACATTGTCGATGAAATAGATCGGGCGAGCGCACACTACCTTGACATGGAGGACTATGCTACGGCCCCACCCGCCAACCACTTCCCACCTTCCTTGGCAGAGAGATATTTCAACGCCGCAGGCCCAGCGGAATTTCGACCTGGTCAACCATTTATGAGTGGCGCAGCTGCCCGGTCTCATGATGTCTCTGCCGCCTTGAGGTCACCTTCTGAGTGGTCGGGCTTCTGCAATGGCGTTCAAATGGCGAGTCGGAGGTCTCCCGCTGCCGATAACAGCCAATACATGAGTGCTCACGTTCAGCAACTGATGGCTGCCCAGCTTCGCAACAATCCGTATGCGAGTCTGTACAATCCTTATGCCTTACAGATAAACCCACACTTCATGCAGCTCATGCCGATCAATACCATGGGGCTCGAGGTGCCAACGACGCCTCGAGACAGCCCTATTGGCGAAAGTGTTCAGAGCGCACTCATGTACGAGTTCAAGTCAAATACGAAGAACAAACGATGGGAGCTACGTGACATCCGTGGTCACGTCGCAGAGTTTGCTGGAGACCAACATGGATCACGATTCATACAGACGAAGCTGGAAACCGCCAACTCTGATGACAAGGATATGGTCTTCAACGAAATCGATCCCAACGCCATACCTCTCATGACAGACGTGTTCGGCAACTACGTGATTCAGAAATTCTTTGAGCACGGCGATCAGCGACACAAGAAGCGACTGGCCAAGATCATGCATGGCCAAGTCCTGAGTCTGTCTCTGCAAATGTACGGATGTCGAGTGGTCCAGAAGGCCCTCGACCACCTACTTGTCGACGACCAGACGCCCCTCGTCCTCGAACTTGACAACCACGTACTCAAGTGCGTAAAGGATCAAAATGGCAATCATGTAATCCAGAAGGCGATTGAACGCTGCCCAGCTGCCAACCTCAATTTCATCGTGGCGGCGTTCCGAGCCCAGGTTCAGCATCTTAGCATACATCCCTATGGGTGCCGCGTCATTCAGCGATGCCTCGAGAAGAGTGATCTACCAAACCGAGCCCTGGTAATGTCAGAACTGATGCAGGGAGTCAATGCCATGGTATCTGACCAGTTTGGCAACTACGTCGTGCAGCATATCGTCTCTCATGACCACGGCGAAGGTAAACAAAAAGTGCTCACCATCGTCGCACAAGGCCTCGAAGGCTACAGCAAGCACAAGTTCTCCAGCAATGTGGTCGAGAAATGTCTGGAGCGCTCTGATGATGTGTATCGGAACAGCGTCATGACTAAATTGCTGGACGACAACGCACGACGAACGGAGGGTGAAGGCGTTCTGCTTGGCATGATTCGCGACAGTTATGGCAACTATGTGATCCGTGAGTATGCGCCCGATCCACATTGATGCATTTGCTGACAATATCGCAGAGAAATTCTTGGATACCCTTGAAATCAACGACTACTTCGTGTTTTGCGATCACCTCCAGGCACCTCTTCTGCAAGCCAAGCGCTCAGGAGCCGGCAAGCAAGTCCTGGCCATCGAGAAAAAAATGCACAGATTTGACCACATTCAACGGAATGGCAACAGCAACCATAGCGGCCACTATCACATGCAATCTGGTCCGGGCTATCACATGCCCATGCAGATGCCTATGACCGTGGCGCCATATGCCAGCAATTACAACTCTGCCGCGACGACACCGCCACCACTCACGGCGGACACGCAGAGTCTACAGAGCTCATGCCTTCCCAGCATCAACGGTGATGCTGTCGAAGGTGCTGCTGCGAGCAGAAAAGGCAGCGATCCATCAAGCATGCACAGCATTGATGGTGTACACAGGTGACTATTTTCATGACCACAAAAAAGGGGAGAGACTCTTCACAACTACTTAGGGAGAGGCGCAACTTTCTGGCTGCTAGCTATATCTGCATATCGAAAGGAGTATTTGGCGGGCGTACAGACGAACAGAACATTGGACGGAATCTTTTAATATTATGGCAACACCATGTCCTGGACGAGACACAGGGAGTACACCGACTAGAAGGGCGACGAAGTTCTTTTTGGTTGTCTTTTTCTTCTGGGATTTGGTTTCAGGTCTTCTCTGTATGACTTATGATTGGAATATGAATACCGGAAAGCAAGCATTGGAACGTCACAGGTGATGGAATCATGGATGGATACCCACTGTTATTTGTATGAACTATGTACTGAGCACAATCGCTTATGAGCACAAGTTTCGTTCTTTGGGGTATCTCTTCAACTTGTTGCTGTAGACTGGTTGCTTACTGTCTACAGCCATGTCAGGCACTGAATGAGCTCGATAGCATTTCCGGACTTCGGCACTTCGCACTTTTCAAGAAGCAGCCGTCTCACACAAGCCGCTGCCAGCAATCAAGGACAGAGTGGTCATCCCAGGTCTAGCGCTGCGCAGTGCAGTAGTAGCTGTTGCCATCTCCAGTGATCGACCGCCAACCATTTGCCGGGAGCTCAAAGCTAACCGATTTGGTCTTCATCATCTCAGTCGTCATGGTAAGCAGTTTCTGGAGCGCCTTCGCTTCGCTAGGAGCATCCGGTCCGCGGAGCAGAACGCGTCGGCTACCTTCAAAGATGACCAAAGCACTGAGAGTTGTACCGACGCCCCAAGTGATCACATCGAAGGTGTTTTGCTGGTGGATATTGGTGCCAGTTGCAAGAACTCGGTGGAGACACTTAGCATTGGCTGCGATTCGATTGCATCTGTTAGCAATTGTGTTGCCGGTGTCGCTCGAATTTCACTTACAAAGGATCTGGCGGTGCATGCCGGCAACATCGAGCTCGGGTTCCGGCTTCTCGTCCTCGCCTTTCTTCGCAAGGGCGGCAGCGACCTTAGCCTCGACAACTTTCTCCATCGACTCGTGGATGGCGGCCACGACCTTGTCGCCGATGTTGGACAGGTCGATGGTGATATGAGAGGCCATCTTGGATCTAGAAAGGGGTTAGCTATGGGCAGAACTGTGGAGATATGCTTCGAGCGACGTACCGTGGTTGGAGTGATGGGCTGGCTTGTCGAAGACACCTGGATGTCTGAACTAGTGACAAAGTCGAGTTTGGAATTTCTGTTGTGGGCGACGGAACGCTTTGACCTGGAGCGAAAGAACTTTTCAAGCAAACAAACAAGGGCGTAGAAACTTCCTGAAGAGCGCCTGTTGGGCTGTTCGGCTTCATGTCTCACTGAGCTTCACCTGGACTTTGTCTTGGCCGTGGAGGAGAGGGGCCATGGTACGACGGTGATTCATTTTGAAAATTCGGAGCGTCTTGCTTTCTGGCTTCTAAGCTTGTTCCGGAACTCGTTCATTGCGGTCTCCAGAGAGTCCCGCTGTTGAGTGAGCACCGATAGTCTCGCCTCTTCATCGTCTGCGACGGCGTAGTAGTGGCTGCTGCCCTCCCACCTGCCTCGCTTGCAGCGGTGGCCTAGTCAGAGAAAGCCAGCCCACTCGTATGGCAGCATCTCGCTCGTCATCTCTCTAGCGGTTGGCTGTGTAATAGTAGCTGTTGCCTCTACCACCAACCAAACTCCAGTCATCGGCCGGGCGGTAGAAGTCTGACCACTTCTCGTGCATCAGCTCCCTTGTCATAGCAAGCAGCTCTTGCAGTGCCCCCAATTCGCCTTGAGACTCTGGGCCCCGAAGTAGAACGTGCATGTAATTCCCGTTCATGTAGCAAACGCACCCAGAGACTTTCGCGCCGGTGCCACTGGTCACTACGTGGAATGAGTGGAGGACGGCGTAGCGTCCTCCGAGCAGCTGGTAGAGGAAAGGGGCGTTGGCTAAATACTCATTAGCGCGTGCCTCCCTGGGCAAGATTCACATCTGACTTACCGATGATCTGTTTGCGCATGTATTCAACTTCAAGCTCTGGTTCCAGTTTCTCGCCTTTGTTTGACGCGGCTTTCATGGCGGCAACGACCTTCGCCTCAACCATCTTCTCCACCGACTCCTCCATGGCAAGCGCGACCTTCGCCTCGATAGCTTTCTCCATCGACTCGTTGATGGCAGCGACAATGTTGTCGCCCATGTTGGACGAATCGCTGGTGGTTCGGGGAGGCATCGCAGCTTAGAAATTTGTCAGCTGTAAGAAGCGCTGCAACGTACGTTGCGGTCGTTCAATTCCGGCTTGCTCACGGTTCGCTTCTGGAGGGTGTCGAAGGACCTAATGTTTGGATCGACGAGAAAGTCGAGTTGAGTTTTGGCCGTGCGCGTGGAAAGTGTTCGCGCAGGTAATAGGCCACTCGGCAATACGGCAGTGTTGGAGCAAACACGATAATGCATAGAAGATCTCTGAGGAGCGCGCATTTATTATAGCTCTTGGCTTCATTTCTCACTGAGCTTCACTTGGCCCGGAACCATTAGACGGGCTCGCAGCAGGAGGACCCTCCATCAAGGGAAATCACCGCATCTTGCATTTTGGCTTCTATCCTTCGTTCCCGGTCGCATAGCGCAGTCGGCAGCGTGCGGTGCTCAAGTTTCCAGTGCATGTCGATGGTCATGCCTACTCATCGTCTTCGTCGTGGCTGTCGTCCACATTGGTAAAGTAGTAGCTCTTTCCCTGCCCTTCCAACCTGACTGCCTTCCAGCGGTTGCCTGGCGAATAGAAGCCAGCCCAATTGCGACACAACAAGTCACTGGTCATGTTCAATAGCTTCCATAGCGCATTTGCTTCTCCTTCAGCATCGGGGCCAAGAATGAATACGCGCCGTGACTTGTTCCTCGTGAATACAACGCTGGCAGATACCGAGCTACCAACTCCTACGGTCAGAACCTCGAACTTTGCCCCTTCCACCACATCGTCACCCGCCAGCAAAGGGTAAAGATACTCGACGTTCGCTGTGTCGGCATCATACATTAGCTAAAATCTGCATCACGAGTGTAGAGGGTGGCAACTTACCGAGGATCTGATTGCGCATGCCCCCAAAATCCAATTCGACCTGAATCTTCTTGGAGGCGTCCGCGATCTTGGTGGAAACGAGCTTCTTCAAGGAGCTGTGTATGGCGGCGGCAATCCCGTCGACCAGTATGGAGAGATTGTCGCTCAGAGCCGGCATCTTGGGTTCGAGAAAGAGCGAAGTTCAAGGAGGATTGGAAGAGGCTGCCTTCGATGCTGTAGTCGTTCGAATTGCACTGAAGCGCCGATTATTTTCATTACAGAACTTCACTAAGCCCTGTTGTGCACAGCGACAAGTTCAACCAGAGGAGAGACCGCTCGACAAAGCGGCCAACTTCAAGCAAACAGAGAGATGTGCAGAAAGTTCCTGAAAGGGCGTGTACTGGATTGCGTTTGTTGAAACTCGTCTTCGCATCTCTCTGCGGTTTATTTGGACTTTGTTTCGAAACATACGAGGGAGACAAGGTCACATCGTAAGAATTCAGAGCATCTTACACATAGGTTCCTGTACTCATGTCTACTCGCCGTCGAAGTCATACGTGTGATAGTAGAAGTTGGTCTTGCGGTCGCAAATTTTTGTCCATTTAGTGCCTGGTCTGGAGATGTCGAGGTCTCTGATCGTTCGATTCACCAGCTGACTTGTTGGTCTAGATCTGAGAAGCAGTCAGCTCTAGCTACAAGACCTGCGCGAATGAACTCCGAGCGCTGCACCAGAATTCGCGCTTATCCTTCCCATCGTCATGCGATTGGGAGCCGAGAGTCTAACTCAGCGTCTGTAAGGAACTCCACAGTCCTGCGAATGATGGAGTGCTTCGGGCTGTGTATGAAAGTCTTCCGTGGGGCAGTACTGCTTGTCGGGCAGATGGAACAGGATGGGAAATTATGAGATGAGATGCCCTGTACATTGACCTCGAGTCCGATCAAACTTCGCTTCGACTTCGTCTTGTTCTTGAGTCCGGATGAACAAGACATGGCCATGGCTGTGGCACTTCGAATCGATATCTTACATGTTGGCTTCCGAGCCTCGATTCCGGCTGCTACGGCCTTGCGCGTTGAAGCATTGCATGAAACGTGTTCACTTCTTTTGTACAGGCTCCACGGGCACGTATAGATCCCGATAACATCGCAAAGTCGATGGGAAACATGTATCCCTCATGGCTGGTCAGCAGGCAATGATGGCTGAGCGTTCTGGGACCGGATGCGACTGGAGCCAACGTCTTTTTCTTTTGCTGGAGCTCTTTTCGTCGCCGGGCAATTTGGTGTCTTCGATATAGTAGCAATAATACTTTCAGAGAAGATGGGACTTGTCGTCTAAGGCCAGTAGAGCCAAGATGCGATCCAATGTGTCCACGATAATGTTGGCGCGTGGGTGTATTGCGGCCGGAGGGAAGGAACAAGTTTGAGCGAGGTTGGACTTCAGGCTGGTGCCCTTGGCCGACGTCGCCGAGCAGCCGAACTCTCAACACAGCTGTGTCGAGCTCTTCCGGCGCATTTCTTTCCACTGCCGACCACGTTCTCCCTCTATTTTCCGATTCCTCTTCGCTGCACCTCGCTGTGGTTCGGTGATTACCTGGACCCGTATACAAGATGTCGTCGGAACAGGTCGAGGCGCTCAAAGCCACCGTCGACAAGCTAGAAAAGAAAGTCCACGACCTCGAGGCGCGACTGTCAGGGAACCCAGCAGCAGGTACCGCGAACAGCGATGGCATGCGCATGATCTTGATTGGACCTCCTGGAGCTGGTATGTGCAGGCAGAAGTGCCAATGGCACTCGGAGGGCGAGTATTCGCCAGCGGCTAATGTTCAACCCCAGGCAAGGGCACTCAGGCGCCGAGAATCAAGGAAAAGTATGGCTGCTGCCATCTGGCTACCGGCGACATGCTTCGCGCGCAAGTAGCCGCAAAGACCGCGCTTGGCCGAGAGGCGAAGAAGATCATGGATGCAGGAGGCCTGGTGTCAGACGAGATCATGATTGGCATAATTGAGAAGGAGCTCGAGAACAACAAGGAGTGCAAGGGAGGGTATGTGGAGGTTGCCGATGGCACGCTGGTCGGCCAAAGCGAACACCAGGGGAACTCATGCTGACAGAATTGGACAGATTCATTCTTGATGGTTTCCCTCGCACAGTTCCGCAAGCCAAGAAGCTGGATGAGATGTTGGCGGCCAAGACGCAGCAACTGAAGCATGCAATTGAACTGCAGATCGAAGACAACCTGCTCGTGGCTCGCATCACTGGCCGCCTGGTGCACCCAGCCTCCGGACGATCATACCACAAGATCTTCAGCCCGCCGAAGAAGGAGATGACCGATGATATTACCGGCGAGCCTCTCATTCAGCGATCAGACGACAACGAGGAAGCCCTCAAGAAGCGGTTAGGGACATATCACAAGCAGACCGCTCCAGTCGTGGACTACTACCGCGCTACCGGCATCTGGAGAAAGATTGATGCCAGCCAGGAGCCTGGCGCGGTATGGAAGAACATGCTGCAGATCTTCAACGAGAGCGAGGGAAGCGCGTCTGGTGGACTCATGGGCAAGCTGGGTCTGAGGAAGTGAGGGGATTTATCTTTGTGAAGCACCACAACGGTCCACGATGGCGGCTAGAAGCCAGCGACTGCGGACCGGATCTGCCGTAGCCGGAATGGGCAAGAGTCTGCTCAGAGGCCAAGCATTTCAGTGGTTCGTAAAATGTGGCGCGAGGTGTGCATAGAAGCTGTGTGGCTACAGTGTATCATAGGGAGCGGGCATTGTACGGATCACCTAATTCCATAGGGTTTTACCACAAAAGAGAGATACGAGAGTCGCGATTGCCTGATGGGAGCTCCTTCTGTGATCGATGTCGCGTGGCCTGCCTGCCACTTCGACATCCACGCTCGTCTCTGACTTCTGGTTTACAACATCTCCGCGCTGACAATTGCACAGCAATGCCCTCCTCTAAAGCAAGACGGCATTACGGAGTGGATCTGCACAGATATCTGGGCATCGAAACGCCTCCTAAGACAAACGCGCAGGAGCGCGAGGCAAGTACAAACGACCTTCACTTCACGACAGCTCTCTTCTAACGGCTCTGCAGCTGCCACCTGATGTCGCTCCACACGTGCCACCGCCTCCACCTCCACCTCCCTCTCAATCTTCCATAGGTCATCGCCTTCGCAATTCTCTGGCCAGCCTGCTCTTTGTCGTATTCACGCTGGAGACGCTTGCTAACTCGCATGACAGACAGCCATGACTCCATCCGCCAACCGCATACTTGACCGCGACCATGAATCGCCCAAGGGCATTCGACGCCGCGCCAGCAAGACACATACACCATCTTCGAAGGCTTCCACGTCGCTCATGGACCGCACCAATACCACGCGGACACGATCAAACTACACCATGACGACCACAAGCAGCACGCCAGGCGTCGGAATGACAACTTTCCTTCCTGAGATGAACAGCACTCCGCCGATGCCCACCTTCCAGAAGCCAGACATGGAGACGCCGACCCCATTGCGCAGAGAGCGACCAAGAGAGTACGCCACTCCTTCACGTACACAAGGCTTAAGACGCCCGGACACACCTCGCGCAGAGAGAAGCATTGAAGACCTGTTCGTGCAATCAGCGCGGAAACCTCACGTGCCATACTCTACCACCCCACTCATCGATCGTGTCCCCGGCACACCACCACTGCCTCGCAACTGGGGCCGTCGACAAGACCGAGCGATCTGCATTCTCGACGCGAGCAATTACAGCTTGGGTGGCATTGTGGCCAAGATTCGTCACGTCTTCCCAGATCTGGATGGCACCTTGACACCAGCTATGGTCGACAAGAGACTTCGGCAGTTGGATCAGATCATTGAGATTGACTATTGGGCTGTTGGATTGGCAAAGAATGAAAAGCAGCAACGCAAGGAGAAAGCGAAACTTGAGGAGGCAGAAGCGAAGAGACTTGAGAGCAGTAGCATGTTGATGGGAGGTAGTGCCAGAGGTGTTGCTGATGAGGCTAGGAGTGAGAAGGAGGATCTTGTAAGGGCTCAGAAGAAGTCGCGTTCGAAGGAGAAGGTCATCGATGGGAGCAGAGTTGATGCGGATATGGAAGCTCGGGATCCGGTCGCAAGGGGGTTCTTGTCAAGCTTTCGCACACAGATTGCATGAGCTTGCTTCTACTTGACTTGGGGCCGACAATGAAACGCCATGATACAGCCACAACGACTTGGGGGCAATGTCATCAACAAGGCAAAGCACTGCCTTTGACGTAGGAGTTTGGCAATGCGGGTCGAGTGATAATGTCTAATATAATCTCTGGCACTCGGCCACATGCAACAGCTATCTCACATTCTCCCTCCGATGCAGTTCATTACTCGTTTCAAAATGTCGTCAAGCTTCAATCTACACGAAGCCAGCAGCCGTAGCCTTTTCTCTATACTCTTCAAAAGTCTTCGCCGCACCGCCTCGTGAATTGTTGCGAGCTCGCGCCTCAAATTCACTTTCGGTGCCTTCCTCGATGCGTTTCCGCTCTTCCCAAGCATCCTCCTCACTCGCAATCATACCGCGGAAAGCGCCTTGCTGTCCACGGCTGAAATATACCGCGCCAGCTTTCCTGTTCGCGACGTCTTCATTGATCAAGATGTACTTGATTCCTGATCCAGGCGTCTCAAACATTGCATCTGCCAATAAGCGTTCCATTACTGTTCGTAGACCTCGTGCTCCGGTTCCCATTTTCGACGCTGTTGTGGCAATGGCGTGTAGAGCTGCTGTTGTGAAGCGGATTTCCATACTTGAGAGTGCGAAGAGTTGTTGATATTGCTTCATGAGGCTGTTTCGGGGCTCCGTGAGCACTTTGACGAGTGCTTCGATATCGAGGGATGAGAGAGCGCAGGATATTGGGATACGGCCAACTAGTTCGGGGATTAAACCATATTTTTGGAGGTCTTGAGGCTCGACGAGATCGAGGGTGTTGAATTTTCGCTTTTGTGTTGCGGAATGGGAATTTGATTCGTCGTGTTGCTGAGTCGGTGGCGCGTAATACGGAAGGTGCTTATCGAAGAGTTCATCTTCGCCTTCGATGATGGTTTCGTGCTGGTTGGAGGTGTCGGATCCGGGTGCTGCGCGGACTGTTGCGCCGAAACCGATGCTGCCTTTCGAGACACGGTCTAGGATGACTTTGTGAAGGCCATTGAAGGCTCCTGCGCAGAGGAAGAGGATGTTGTCTGTTCTCACATTGTAGACATCGCCCTTTCCGCCTCCGGGCTGTGATGGTTGGTTTATGTTACCGCCCGAAAGTGGTGAGTTGGTAGGATATCCGGATCCTTGACCTCGGTATTTCTCGTTTGTTGAACTTCGTTCCTGTTTGGCTTGGATCTGAAGTGTTGTTCCTTCGATGATCTTCAACAGTGCCTGTTGAACGCCTTCACCACTTACGTCTTTGCCATGTGATACTTTGGCTGTGGCAATCTTATCTATTTCGTCCAGGACGATGATGCCTCGCTCAGCACGTGTCACATCGTAATTAGCGGCTGCCAGCAGGCGCTGTACGCAGACATCTGCATCTTCGCCAATGTAGCCCGCTTGTGTGAAGGGCGTGCAATCAGACATGCTGAATGGGACTTCGAGCACCCTGGCAAGAGTCTTTGCCATCAACGTCTTTCCAACACCCGATGGTCCTAGCAGTAGCACATTGCTCTTCTCCACAGTCAAGGGACTTGAATCCTGAAGTGGCGATGGAGGAGGACCAAGTCCATTTTGTTGTATAGTTCTTTGCTGGGAGCTATGATCGGGAGGATAGACATGTATCGTGGTCTGCTGCTGGCCAGGAAACTCATCTTCCGCAAAATCCTTCGTCAGCGAAGGTACTGCTATCCCTCGCTTCAATTCACCCTCCCTACCTTCTACCGGATGTCTCTGGTGCATGCGCCGCCGCTCCTCGGCCGCCAGTTGCTCCTCCTCCTCTTCATCTCTCCTCTGCAGCTCCTGTATTCGCTGATAGTGGTTGTATACGGCCGTTGCCAAGGTCTTCTTCGCGCGCTCCTGGCCGACAACGAATTGATCGAGGTGCTGCTTGAGGATTGCAGGTGTGATGCGTGGCGCTCCGATTTCTGAAGCTCCTCCCAAGGGACCTTCAGTTGGGCCCCCAGGTTCATAAACGCCCGTCCAGGGCTGGTTTGTGAAATCGGAGCGAATGTACGACGACGAGTCTGATGACGTCCGGTGCGAGGCGCTGAAGTGTCGGCGTGTGATGGCAGCAATGCCCAGGTAGGTCAGCCTGGCGCGCGGCGTGTAATACGATGCAACCGTTGCCATGCCCAGTCTGCCTCACCGCGATGGCACACGCACTCGCCGCAACTCTGGTCGAGTGAATCAACGCCGCATCAGTCGACGAGCTCCAGCTCCGAAGCCGCCACTCGTCAGCCTCCGCAGCGCCTCCCCACTCTCCACATTGCGAGAGGCTCCGAGCGACGCAGGGACCATCGAAGTGAATCCGGCCGAGCCAAGTCTGGACGGCCTGCGACGCTCATTTCTCCCGTCGCAGCGTCTGCTTTCTGTTGATTGAGCTCTGCGCAGCGGCTGCGCGCAGCAACGCGCCCAACCACTCTCGCCATGCCGACCAACACGCCGCCACCGCGCGCAGCAGCGAGTTTCTGGCCCAACAGCCCGCAGGACGTTTATCTCGATTGGTTGAGGAAAGTCGGACCGCTTCCCTGCAATGACATAGCTCTTGCGGTGGGGTTGAGCGCGAGAGCATTGACGATGGCCCAGCGTTGAGAGAGCTGCGCGCGAGACGCTGCCAATATTATTGTTGCCAGATCGCCCTCTCTTTCTGCGTGAACTTTCTCACTGACACTGCATTCTGCTCACAATTCCCAGTACACTCCTTTGCACTGCACGTCGTCTTCACGAGAAACCTCACTGCTGACAGACCCCATCCTCGCCGCCGCCACTCACCATGGCCGACAAACTGAACGAGACGTCGCCCGACAGCGTCATGGCGAAGCCGAACGGGCAGGTGCCCAACGACGGCACGGGCATCGTCCAGCTTGATCCGTGGCTCGAGCCATACACGGGCGCCCTCAAGTCGAGGTTCACGCAGACCCAGAACTGGATCAAGACCATCGACAAGCACGAAGGCGGTCTCGAGAAGTTCTCGCGCGGCTACGAGAAGTTCGGATTCAATGTGTCGCCAGACAACACCATCACATACCGCGAATGGGCACCATTTGCCCTGCGAGCCTACCTCATCGGTGACTTCAACGAGTGGAACCGAGATAGCCATCAGATGCAGCGAGATGCATTCGGTGTCTGGGAAATCCAACTGCCCGCCGTCAATGGCCAACCAGCAATTCCTCACGACAGCAAAATCAAGATTAGCATGGTGGTGCCAAACGATGGGCAAAGAGTGGAGAAGTTGCCGGCATGGATAACTCGAGTGACACAAGATCTGTCAGTCTCGCCCATCTACGACGCACGATTCTGGAATCCGCCTCAGAAATATCAGTGGAAGAATCCTCGCCCGGCGAAGCCACTCAGCGCACGAATTTACGAAGCACACGTCGGTATCTCGAGCCCGGACCCCAAGGTCGCTACGTACAAAGAGTTCACTCAAAATACACTGCCTCGTATTCGAGACTTGGGGTACAACACAATTCAGCTCATGGCCATCATGGAGCACGCCTACTACGCTTCGTTCGGCTATCAGATCAACTCCTTCTTTGCCGCATCATCGCGATATGGACATCCAGACGATTTGAAAGAGTTGATCGACACAGCACACGGAATGGGAATCACAGTACTGCTGGATGTCGTCCACTCGCATGCTAGCAAAAACGTTGCAGACGGTCTCAACATGTTCGACAACAGCGACCACCTCTACTTCCACGAGGGAGCTCGTGGCCGGCACGAGTTGTGGGATTCGCGGCTCTTTAACTACGGGCATCACGAAGTCCTGCGCTTCTTGCTGTCCAACTTGCGCTTCTGGATGGAAGAGTACCAATTCGATGGCTTCCGATTCGATGGTGTCACCAGTATGCTGTACAAGCACCACGGCATTGGCACTGGCTTCAGCGGAGGCTACCACGAGTACTTCGGCCCCAGCGTCGATGAGGAAGGCGTAGTCTACCTCATGCTGGCCAACGAGATGTTGCATAACCTTTATCCAGACTGCATCACGATCGCCGAGGACGTGAGCGGAATGCCCGGTCTGTGTGTCAAGTTGAGCTTGGGTGGAATAGGATTCGACTACAGACTTGCCATGGCTGTACCAGACTTGTACATCAAGTGGCTTAAAGAGAAGCAAGACATTGACTGGGACATGGGAGCACTCTGCTTCACCTTGACGAATCGTCGTCATGGTGAGAAGACCATTGCCTACGCAGAGAGTCACGATCAAGCGCTGGTCGGCGACAAGACCTTGCTGTTCTGGTTGTGTGACGCCGAGATGTACACCAACATGTCCACTCTCACGCCTTTCACACCCGTCATCGAGCGTGGAATGGCGCTGCACAAGATGATCCGACTCATCACACATTCGCTCGGAGGCGAAGCCTACCTCAACTTCGAGGGCAACGAGTTCGGCCATCCAGAGTGGCTGGACTTCCCTCGCGAGGGCAACGGCAACAGCTTCCACTACGCCCGCCGACAGTTCAACCTCGTGGAAGACAAGCTTCTCCGCTATCACTTCCTGAACGACTTCGACAAGGCCATGCAGTGGACCGAGCAGAAGTATGGTTGGCTGCACTCACCTCAAGCATATGTCAGCCTCAAGAACGAAAATGACAAGGTGGTCGTCTTCGAGCGTGCCGGCCTGCTGTTCATTTTCAACTTCCATCCTTCCAGCTCTTTCACAGACTACCGTGTCGGCGTTGAACAGGCTGGAACTTACAGAGTCGTCTTGAACACTGACGACCCGGCCTTCGGAGGTCTCGGACGATCACAGAACGATACCCGCTTCTTCACGACTGATTTTGCGTGGAACAACCGCAAGAACTTCTTGCAAGTGTACATTCCTACTCGCACAGCACTGGTAAGACACCCCATAGGCCGACTATAATGAACCACATTACTAACTAAACATGTAGGTTCTCGCACTCGAGGAAACCCTCGACCCGAACTGGAAGTCTCAGGTCTCGCTCGGATACTGAGCGCAATTTCACGAAAATAGCAGACTGATGAAAAGCTTCATTGAGGTTTAAGCTAGGCGTTGGAAGGGGACATCACAGTGTATACTATAGATATCCGGCGTTGACAGTACGTCCAAGGAGTGCAAGGCACTTGTTCGGCTTAACTAGAAGTTTGATCCCGTGATCGTTGCTGGAGAATTGCGATAAGGCGATATTTATTCTAGTCCTTCTGCCACCTTTTTGCCGCTGCGAGTGCCATAATGCCATGGCGACGGACAGTCACATGCCGTCACCCAAGTTGCTAGTCACAATTTTTATGCCGGTAGCACGCGTGCTGCGAGCCCTGCTGTTGGCAGAACCTCCAGGGAATACTTTCCTCTGCACCGGCCCGGTGGCTGAGCCGCTGTTTGTGCTGTTGAAGGGCGCCGCTTGCCACTGCCAATTTGGGCTAGCTTACAACCTTGAACTTGCAAGGGTACGTCGCGAGCTCTATCACTTCCCCACATACATATACTGTAGCAATGCCGCCGTTTTCCTCTTGCGTTCTCATTGCCTGCTTTCTCACTTATTTCTCGTACTACCATAGTCAGGCAAGACAATCATGGCCTCCTTCATGAGAAATGCTGCTCGTCTGCAGCCAGCACTCCGCTCCTCGATTCGTCCCGCAACGATCGTTCGCCGAACCATGGCCACTCAGTCACCCTCGCACAACGCCAGCGCTGCCGCAGCAGTCAGATCTGCCGTATCCGACGCTGCTGAGCCGTCGCTCTTCCCAGACGAGCCTACCGGGCCAATTGTACGAACACAGATTCCTGGTCCAAAGTCACAAGAGGCGATAGCAGAGCTTGATCAAGTATTCGATACGCGATCGCTCAACATGATGGCGAACTACCAGAACAGCTTTGGAAACTACCTGGCTGACTTGGATGGCAACGTGCTTCTCGATGTCTACGCCCAGATCGCGTCCATTCCTGTTGGCTACAGCAACCCAAACCTGCTGGCTGCTGCAACCACTCCAGAGATGGCCTCTGCTATCATCAACAGACCTGCTCTTGGAAACTTCCCTCAGCATGACTGGGCACACATCTTGAAGACTGGTATCCTGAAGGCTGCTCCAAAGGGCTGCGACCAGGTCTTCACTGCACAAGCTGGCTCGGACGCCAACGAGCTCGCATACAAGGCCGCTTTCATGTGGAAGCGTCGCCAGGAACGTGGTGGTCCAGAGGTTGACTTCACAGCTGAGGAGATCTCCTCTGCCATGAACAACCAATCTCCTGGTTCGCCGAACAACATGTCGATCCTGTCTTTCCGCACAGCTTTCCACGGCCGTCTGTTTGGTTCGCTCTCTACCACTCGCTCCAAGCCAATTCACAAGCTCGACATTCCTGCCTTTGACTGGCCTCAAGCGTCTTTCCCAGCATTGAAGTACCCACTTGAGGAGCATGCTGAGGAGAACGCAAAGGAGGAGGCCCGCTGCTTGGCTGAGGTTGAAGATCTTCTCCTCAACTACCACAACAAGCCTGCTGCCGTTATCGTCGAGCCCATCCAGTCCGAGGGTGGCGACAACCATGCTAGCCCAGCATTCTTCAACGGTCTCCGTGATGTCACCCGCAAGCACGGCGTGCTTCTCATCGTCGACGAAGTCCAGACCGGTGTTGGTGCTACCGGCAAGTTCTGGGCTCACGAGCACTGGAACCTCAAGCATGCTCCAGATATGGTCACTTTCAGCAAGAAGGCACAGACCGCTGGCTACTACTTCAGCAACCCAGAGCTCAGGCCAAACAAGCCTTACCGTCAATTCAACGTAAGTCCACAATTCTCGCATAACATGCTCATAACTAACTCATTGTTTCCAGACTTGGATGGGTGACCCAGCTCGTGCCCTGCTCTTCCGCGCTATCATCAACGAGATCGAGCGTCTCAACTTGGTTGAGAACACTGCCATCACTGGCGAGTACCTTTACAATGGTCTTGAGAACCTTGGCAAGCAGTATCCTGGCGAGATTCAGAACCTCCGTGGCAAGGGCCAAGGCACATTCATCGCCTGGGACTCTCCTCGCCGTGACGAGGTCCTGAAGAAGGCCAAGGGAGTGGGTATCAACATTGGTGGATCTGGTGAGCGTGCTGTCCGTCTGCGACCTATGCTCATCTTCCAGAAGAAGCACGCAGACATCTTCCTCGATGCGTTGGAGAAGGTGTTCAAGTCATGAACGACTGCACCGAGTGGGACCACGACGGAGGCATGATTGATGAGATTTCCAAGACACATTGAAGCGATTCGAAAATGGTCGGCACAGGACAGTGCGACTTTGCATGGCGTTGGGGCTATATCAAGGACCGAAAAGCATTTTGCCTACAGGTTTACGGCAGACGATTGAGATGTAACATGAGCACCTGAGAGAAGTGATCGTAATCTGAAACTATTGAGCAGAAAGAATTCGACAGTCTTGCCAGTATCATCCACGTATCACTGCTGACCGCCCATCTCATCACTTCGTTTGTACCTGCCAGTGATTCGTGCCAAGCTTGTCGACAAGCTTTGTGGGTTGGAACTTTAGCTGAGCCGCGCAGGAACGAGATCCAATTCTTGCTCACCTCTTCACGGCGCGACGTTCTCCCACAACGACTCCGCCGCTGGAAATTCGAAGTCCTGCCCAGCTGGACCAGCTCTTAATCGACGACAACTTGAAAGAACCCATGACGGCGGCGTCACAGGTGAAAAGCTGTCGTCATCGTCCGGTTGTCGGCATGCCCAAAAAGGCTCTTCGGCGGGCGGGCCGACGCACGCGCAGCAATGAACGCGTCCTTTGAGCGTCCCACGTCATCGTCGTCCTCACAATCGATCCTGCGTGGCCCCGAAACAGTCTGGCGTCGCGTAGCGAAACTGGGAAAGGCCAAGAAATATATGCAGGTAGGTTCTTGCTCTGACGCGCTGATACGCGCTCCTTACTGTTAAGCTACTCTTCTATTCCCTGCCCTTGCTCTGTTTGTTGGCTTCTTGCTGCTTAGCCCTGAGGCATCCGCGGAGTACAGCTCGTACAGAGACGAATTATGGTTGGCAAAAGGTCTCTCCCGCAGCCTCCGAATAGCAGGACGAAGAGTTCTGGTCAGGTCAGGCCTAGAAGTAGAGGTCAACAATACGGCAATGGGGATTTAGAATCAGGAGCAGGATATGACAACTACGAAGGATATCGCGAGGCCAATGGCAACGGGAATGCCAGACCACGAGTCGACCTAACCAACGGCATCAAAGGGCCCAAACCAGGAATCTGGAGGTTCAAGGACGCAGCGAGGACAGCTCTAGAAGACAAGAGACGGGAAGAGTTGAAGAACAAGCTCTTGACTCAAATCAATCATGATGAGCTGGAAGAGTTTCGGAAATCTGATGAAGAGTTGAAAGCCATAAAGAACAAGAAAGTCAGGAAATTCTATTCAGAGCAGAACGATAGGCTCAATGACTGGTTGGAGGTCGATGCCATTGTGATGGCAGTCGCGGACGATGTTCTGGAGAGCATGGATCCCGATCCGGACAACGATGGAACACGCGAAAGAGGAGGAGGAATCCAGGACGTTGCTGGCAATATCTATGAGCTCCTGCCTGAAGAGGAGAAGGAGAAGCGGGCGAAAGCTGAGAAACGAGCAAAATGGTAACAGACTTGTCGCTGCTTTGCTTGTTCGAGCCTACAGACTGACAATTTTCCAGGGCCATCAACGTAAACGTCATTGCGAATGTGCTACTCCTAGCAGGAAAAATCTACGCAGCATCGACAACCGGCTCCCTCTCCCTCATCGCCAGTTTAGTCGACTCTGCGCTTGATCTCCTCTGCACCCTCATCGTCTGGTCCACCAACAAGCTCGTCAGCTGGCGATTAGACAAACTCCAAAAGACCTTCCCCGTCGGTCGCAAACGCCTCGAACCCCTCGGTATCCTCGTCTTCTCCATCATCATGGTCATCTCCTTCCTCCAAATCCTTCAAGAATCCGTGGAGAAACTCATGCCGCTCAAAGGTGAAGCCGAACCTCTCGGGAACTATGCCATCGGCGCACTGGTCTCTACTGTGGTTGTTAAAGGAATCATCTGGTTCGGTTGCATGCCAATTAAAACGACTCAAGTCCAAGCCCTCGCAAAAGATTGCAAAACGGACGTCAACTTCAATACACTGTCACTCCTCTTCCCGTTAATCGGATACTACGCGGATGTCTGGTGGCTAGATCCCGCAGGCGCCGCAGTGCTATCAATCTTCATCATCGTAGACTGGGCCTCGACCTGCTTCGAAAATATCACGCGACTTTCAGGCCAGGCGGCCGACACAGAATTTATGAAGAAATTAATGTATGTGGCTTATAGGTTTAGTCCTGTGGTGGCGGGGTTCAAAAATGTTACGGCGTATCATGCTGGAGATGGAGTCTGGGTAGAAATTGATGTGCTGATGGATCCGCATACGAAACTTTACCATGCGCATGATATTGCTGAGACGTTGCAGTATTGTACGGAAGGGTTAGGCGAGGTTGATCGGTGTTTTGTGACGATGGATTATAGTTCTAGTGGGCCTACTGGGCATGCGGAGGATGCGGAGAGGGTGTGAGATTAGCATGTTGATTGTGTACAGCATTTTATTTATATCAGGCTTCTGCACAGCGCTTCAAGACAGATCGATTAGAGTCTCTGGGGCCCACGATCATAATGAACTCCTCCCATCACTTCGTCCACGTCCTGACATGTTCCTTGTGCTTGTTCGGACGAATGATCTTCTTGGCCACTTGGCCAGGAGTCAGGACGCTAATATGCTGGTACTTCTCAGTCCATCCCCGAGACTCTATGTCCTGTGCCACCGCTTTTGGGTCTTCATTCGAAGAGGCAGCTTTCGGAAGGTAACACACGACGAATCTTCTGAATCTGCTAGTATTCAGGAGAGCCCAGCCAGCGAACCAATTGATCATGAAGTCTGTCGCAGCAGCTTCATCTGTCTCCCACAAGCCTTCGTAATCCGGCAACAACTCTGGATCAACTGATACCAAGTTGGCATTCGGAAGTGGGTTGGGAGATTCCACTCCGTCTTCCATATCAGGCGGACAGAGGTCACAAACGGCACCATACAATCGAATCCACCGCTCATCCGGCTTTTCGCAGTCGATGAATTTTTTCAACAAGAATTGCTTCAGCCCAGGCCGGGCAAGAATCTTGTTGGCTTCGGCACCTTCAGGCTTGAAACTGTTGGCGTCGAGAAAGTTTTGAATTATCTCTGTAGCTCTCTCCGGATGGTAGACGAGTAGATCATCCGTGAGGAACACAGCGTTGCCAAGTGCTAGGATTCGAGTGCATCCGAAAGTTGCCTTGCGATCTTCCAGAATCGCTGCAGCCTCGTCAACACCTACAGTAAACACTGCGGTAGCTTGTGAGGACCATTCCGCCAGGCCAGGAACTTGCCAGAGAGGCACGTCAGTGTGGACCAAGAGTACACCCGTTCTGTATTTTCTGCGGAAATAGTCCCATGCTCCAGCCGTGTCTGAGTGGTACACTTTGCACTTCATGCCGGTAAAGATCTGCCGGTAGACCTCAGATATAGCACTGTGTGTGGATGGAATCATCAAGAAGACAGCGTCCGGACTCTTGACGAAGAGCTTTTCCACATCAAGATGTGCGAAATCTCTGCCCAAGATTGAATGCAGAGGCTGCATATCAACGGGTGCAGGAGCATCGGTGGATTGCAGCTTTCTTTGAAGGGCTGGGACCCCGTCAAAGGCGTAGAATTTCAAAGAGGCACTGCTCAAAGGCATGTCGGGGCCATCCAGGAACTTCCAGGGCTCTGCGTCGCTTGGGTAGATCAGTATCGTTGAAGAGTAGCCCACTACTGTGGCAACAATGCCGCAGTCATTCAATTTGCAAACCTCGGAAAGGCCAGCCATTTCATCCTCCTCCGCCACATCGAGATGCAGAAACCCGGCAGCAATCTCGTTGCTCTGTCGTATGCTGTCCCACAGCACAGCCTGCACGTCGCCGCTGAGCACAGCATGTCCAGCGCGAATAATTGGGTCGGATCCGAACATGCGAATGAATGAACGATCACCTATCATTTCGAACTTTGCCCTGACTCGATGGGGACGCTCATCGCCCGCATGGTACAGCTTGAAGCTCGCATTCAATGTCACTGCCGCTGCCGCTGCACCGTTCGTATGCCATGGTGAGTTCCAGCTTTCGAATGGCCTTATCGCCTCGTTGGGTGTTGGGTGTGCAGGTGATCCTACTAAATGAGTTGGAGACATGACTATGTCCGGTGATATCTGAGATACCGTAGACAGTGCTGGCACTTGCGGCGCGCTGGCTTGGACTGCTTCTCGAACGCCAACTGTTCCAGCATTTGTATCTTGGATGCCTGCTAGCTTCCTATGCTCAGCGAGAAGCTCCAAGTTCGGACCGCTTGCGGAAGGCGCTGGAAACGTGGCAGATTTGGACACTTTTCTAATGGTCCCGGGCGGTAGAGCGTCAAAACCGGTGTCCCAATGAGCAAATTTGCAAGTATCTCCTTTCAAACATGCTCCTTGGGTTCGCCAGAAGTGGCATGTCAGTTTTGAAAGTGGTATATAGGACATGTCGGAAAGTACCCTGACCTTTTCTGGGTCTCTCGACATCGGCTCATTTTTCTGAGCGATTTCAGCAAGTCTTGCCAAGTATGCTTCCTGGCTTGCTCGGGCGTCTTCTACAGTCACTTTGGGTGGAGGTGCATCGAACCCTGTATCGTAGTGCGCATATTTACAATGTGCATTTTGGTTGCATTTGCCATGTGACCGCCAGAAATGGCAGAACAGCTCGTGGAATCTGTAAGGCTGGTTCTTAGGGGGTAATCGTAGCCTGGCGGCCTCTTCACCACTGATCTTCGTTGCGTCTCCAGGAGGATAGAAATGTAGATTGAAGCACTCGTCGGCACTGTAATAACAATTGCCTTCGCTCCAGAATCGACATGTGACTCTGTCAGGGCGATCTCGGCCATCTTCAGCGACTATGGCTGGAATTTTCGTGACATTAGTTGCCACGCCCGCTGTTCCGATGGAGCCTGTCACTGTCGGCCTCGTGTGGCCCGTGGTAGCGTCAGGAAGTGAGCTCTCACGAGCAGCAGGAGGTGGCGTCCGCCGAGCATATGCGCTGCCAATACTTCTACTCTCGGCAACAGGGTGAATGCTTGACTGAGCAGGAGGCACTTGTCCACCTCCCATGGATGCTGTTCTTGCCACAATCCGGTCTGTAGATGAATTGGACGCCTTGATCACCTTGCCAGTCTTCGGATCAATGATGTCCAGAGCATTAATATCAGGTGCAGCTTCTGAGCGTGAAGAAAATTTCTGCACAGCATGCTGCATTCGCAAATGTTGAAACCTAGGCTGTGCTCCATCGTGTGAGAGCTCAGAGGGAGCCGGCACACGCCTGCGCTTTTGCTTGTTCGCGTCCCAGTTCGCCATCACATTTCTCGACTTCTTAGCTCGAGCTGTTGTTGCGCCCTGGTTCGCAGTGGCAGGCGCACTCTTCCGTGCGACCCCATCCTGAGCTGGTAGTACTGGTGCTGGTGCTGGTCTCGGCAGCTGCTTGGGAGGTTCTTTGCGTTCGTTCGTGATCGGCACAGTCCGGCGCGTGGTATCTGATGCCGGACGCTGTCTCTTGGGAGACTTTGCAACAGCAGGCTGAGGCTGAGATCGTTCTCGTTCCGTTTCCTTTTGTGGGCTCCGCAATTTTTTCAACGGCGGCTGCCTACGCGACCTCGAAGTGATCAGCTCATCAATGAGCGAATCTCTGCTGCTCTCAGAACTTGAGCTGCTCGATTCCTCGCTAGAAACGCCATCGTCATTCTGCTTGGACCGAGCTCTCTTGAGTTTCTGTGCTACGCCTTTCCGAGGAGACACCTGCTGCGGTGCAGCGCGAACAGTCGTTGCTCTCTTCGCCAAAGGTTCCTCTTCAGATTCTTCTTCTTCAAATTCGTCATCACTGGCTTCATTTAGGAGTGCCTGCTCTTCTTCCTCCTCCAAAGTGTCGGGCCGAGTCTCAAGGCCCTTCTTACGTCGTTTCGCATTTCGTCGAGCTCGCCGCTGATTCTTCTCGGCTCTGTGGGCTTGCCACCGACGGTTCCAATCAGCTCTGTCGAAGGGTTGCTTCTTGCCTTGCTTGACGTCTTTGAGAAATTGACGCCAGTCAGTCCAGATCTCACTGTCTTCCTCGGGAAGACCATCGCGTGGTTCCCACGTGGCTTCGTAAATTGGATAACCAGTCCATTTGATAAGGTATTTTTCGAGTGTCTCATCGTAATCTAAGACCCGCTCAATGTCGTACTCCTTCTCGGGATCATCGTCAGTCGTGTAATCTGTGCGGATCGAGTCCTCGTCAGAGCTTTCGTCGACGAACAAATTACCGTGAGCCATGGTGGTTGTGGTTCGGTAAGCTCTCCGCTGGGTGCCGCGATGTGCGACGCGTCAACCCCAGGGACACATCTAGAAGGTACTACACCGTTCACGCGTGTGAGAGGCAACTCAAGCAAAAGCCGGCGACACAACAATGGCGTGCACAAGTTCGCAAAATCTTGTGGTTGTGCTGCCTCGACGATGTTTGAAGTGGAAGGAGTTCAAATGTGGGGCACAGGTAAACAACCCACTAGCTAACCGCGCTTGCCGAATGGCAGAGGAGCCACAAAAGTGAAGGAGAAGGTGAGACAAGTGATGAGAAGAGAGAGGCTCATGCATTATTACATCTCTCGGATTCAACGCGTATGGGATATCTCACGTCTCGCTTGCTATGCACACACATTACTTCGTAGATTTCGTCAACGCCCACGCTTGCTCCCCAATCTTATCCTGCGACGGAAGCCGTGCATGGCCACGAGAGCTGCTCAGCATCCTACAGCAGTGCTGTATGGAGAGACTGCAGAGAGCGTCGCCGACGCTTGCGATGAAACAAAAAGCTGGATGATCTATCATCCATATTACCCAGACCCAAAACATCAAGTGTATGTACTGCCGCCACTTGTCGTCGGCATCGGCCAGTCGTCCTCCGTTATGCTTGACCAGAATGTCCATATCGTAACGACGGCGAGGAAGGTGAACAATGTCTCGAATAGTCCTCCGTTGATCTTACCATCGGTGCCTTCACAGATGTGCACGCTAATCACGTACTGGAAGATCTGGCCGATGGCAAAGAGCAGGGCCGCAGCGACCAAGAACACTACGTGAATGTCAGTAACAGGATCGGGACAGCACTTTTCTGCGAGAACTTACGCATTGGACGCTTCTCGCCAAGGACCTTGAGCACAAGCACAGCCTCCAGGATGAAAAAGATCACCAAGAAGACCAGCGGAACCAATTGGTACAGGGTGTACAGCGCGTAGGCTTGGTTGGGATCTGTCAGCGTGTCGTTCCAGTATCCGGTCCAATTGAAGCCAGTATCGAAGGCAATGTATCCGGTGCCAACGAAGAAGGCTGCGGCAGAGCCGAAAATCAGTGCCAGTGAGAGAGGTGTTCCATCATCAATTAGTTGATATCCAACTGCGCCGTTCATGAGAAGGATCCAGGTCGTCGCTACCACAGCGGCGATGTGTACAGCTGAAAAGCCTCGTCGCACAGCTCCATCCAAGGGAAAGCCTCCCACAGTGAAGATCTCGCAAATCATGATGATGATGAAGCCAAGGAGGAAGAATTGCATTTCTCTGCAGGGCACATGTCAGTGATCATGCTGGGCGCCAGACCGAAAGCGTGCATAGAGCATACCTTCTGCCGACAGCGGCTCTCTTCCTATCAGACCGCCATAGCAGGAATAGCGATGTCAGAATTGCGATTCCAGCCACCAGTATCGAACCTGTCGAGGAGTCAATCCACCGGACGGAGTACACGCTCACAGCATCCACATACCCAAGTTCGCAAGATAGCGGTCACCGCTCAGAGGGATGCCCGTGAGCTGACATCCGCCAAAATACGGTGCTTGTCCTCCGCGAGCACGCGACTCCAAGAATAGGTTGCAGACTGGTATCGTCGCATATCCGCTTCCACTATCACGACAAAAGTCGTGAAATCTCCCGTATTGCGACATGGCGATTGTGCTTCACGAAGAAGAAGCGTTGTTCTCCTTCGAAGGTCGCGAGGTGGTCGAAGCCGTCGTCGATCGCGACGAAAGGCTGAGCCGGGCGACCTATCGCGCGGCTGCGATTCTCGAGGTTCGCGGAACGGTCGTCGCGTCGTGGTCAGGGTCCTCGATGGTATTGCAGCGACGATGCGCAGTTTCGGATTCGACTCCAGTGATGCTGCAGCAAAGCGAGTGTGTGCGGTGTGGAATTAGGCGTGGTGAGAGAGAAGAGTGGTGTCGCCGGTGCAACCAGTAACTAGTTAGTTAGTGGTAGAAAGTTGGCAGCTCGCAGCAGCAAGCTTCGCGCGGAGCCTCAAAGTAGCAAAGCGGCTAGCGCATCTAATTAAATAGCAGCCGTGCACTCGCGCAAGTCAGATCGTGGGAAGCACCATGCTGCTGCCCTTGCAGACCCCCGATTTCCGTTGCAACTTCTCACCCGCCTCGGCACAGGAGACAACGGGTGAAGGATGTGTATTCCGGCCACGTTTGCTTCATCGCATCGCACGCAGAACAGCGACTTCTCGTGTGCGGTATGCAGGAGCAGATATGAAACGGATGATGGCAGGCGCAGTGCAGGTGTCGGGACCTGGCCAATGAGGTGCATGAACGGCCTGCAAGGAATTGGCTTTTGGTGTTTTAGCCGTGCCAACCGTGCCAGGCACCGCGCTCACCCTCACGGACAACACGCCCGCTTGGCTTCGGATCATTGCCGTAAGCTCACAATCGTGCATTCACCCACATCGGCCACTGCCATCATATATTATGAGCTCATCCCGCGGCCTATTCAGAGACACTCTCATATCACGAACTTCCTCCGCAAAAGCATATATGCCCAATGCCTCCGAAAAGCAAGGATATCCAAAGTCCAGAACCCTTTTGTACAACCACTCAATCACCCGTTTGCAGGGAACAATGGTCTTCTCACGCGGGAACCTGTCCAACCCAATCTCCACTTCCTCACGGATACTCTGTGGAAGTCAAATTGTGAATCTTCGGTAGGACATTGACACTGGTCATAGGGTCTCTGTTCTACCGTTGAAAGATTCCATCATAGAAGACCGAGCTTGCCATCCGATGTTCAACGTCTTCCGGCACTTTCTGCCGGATATCGCAGTGTGGCTCGGGATCGGGTGGGTATCGAACTGGTGTTTTATCGGGCATGACAGTTCATCTTTCTGCCCTTGAGTTGTTCGGACTGCAGAATGCCTCGCCAACGTATAGAAATCAACTCGCATCCCGATCGTCCCATGCTGACTAGACACATTGCTAGTCTTCTGGCTCTGGAATGCCTAGGATCTCGAGCAGCTTGGGCTTCACCTCATTGTTGAGCTGACGCTCGACATATTCGAGACGCGAGCTGAGCTCTTTTCGAAGAGCAATCTCCTCTTCGCTCTCTTCTGTCTCATCCGGACACATCATCTCGAATGTCCTCTCGATACGTTCGAAAAATTCTCCCGCTGCTGTTTCGATACGAGTCTTGTGGGCCTTAAGGATCAAGACAAATGCCTGGTGGAGCAGGTCGTGAGCTTGATGCCAGACTCCACCGGTTCTAGTGACCTCTTGCTGGAAGAAGTGGAGTCTCTGTTTTACGGCCCCGGCTTTGCCTTTGATCTTCGCTGATTTTGCGTAGACTGTCGACATTGCCTTCGCTACAAAGTTCTTGGGAGAATCGGTGGTGATGTCTCGGAACATATCGCTATTATCACTGGTTAGTATATCTGGCATACGACTTATGCATCGACATGATATACCCAATTTCCTTTCTCAATGCATTGTTGAGCACCTCCGTGGTTCTCCTAATGGTTCGCGCCTCGGTCTGTAAGTATGACAGGAAAGGAATCATGCCCATGGTCTTGTAGTGTTCGTGAGCTGTATATCCATTAGCAGAAGCAACAAGTTTCGCGTTGGCACGAATGCCGACCTTTGACCCCCACAACGATACCACGCAGGCCATCCGCGAACGGCTTCCGCGTATTCTTCGTGAGCTCGGGCAGAGCTTCTCTCATGTATGAGTAAAAGTGTCGATCCATCTCCACCCTGGCGATGGCGATTAACTGGTCATTCCAGGAAATTCGTTCGCCACCACGTGGATGCCGATTACCTTCGCTTTGGAGCATTGAAAGATGAAGACGAGTATTGTTGACGCGTTCCCAGTTCGACACGAGAGCCCGCGCTTTGGTGGTCCAGTCATATTCCAGCGACATCATTGGACCCAGTACGTGCTTTTGGAAATCGGTAGCGGATTGTGATAATCCAAACCACTGTTCGCAGGTTCCCGGCATAGCCAGTTGTAGCTCACGAACAACTGCAAGAATGACTTCCTTTTGGTCCATGTGTCGTCGCAACGTGTAAAGTCGAAGAGCTTCGATGATGGCCGGGAATTGGACAAATACCTGGTTTTTGATGTCGTTGATTTTACCCTCTGCAGGCAGTTGGAGAAGGTATTTCCTTAGCTCCGGTATCATCGTTGCCGCGACAGACATGGTGGGAGGTCGGGGGTCTGATCTTTTGTACCCCATCTGATGCTTCTTGTACACCGAATTGCCAATACAGAAAACTGGGAGTTCGGCCGGGTCTGATGTCAGCTCAGTGTAGGTTTTTCTTATAGCTGCTGTAACGCTCTTGCTGCGGAGAGCAATTCGAAACTCACGCTCCACGCGCTGTGCTTCTCTCAGTTCATTATCCAGCTTGTCCCTCTCGTCCATGAGACGGAACTTCTCCTCCCTCGATGGTGCATTTCGAGATTCGATATAACATCGATCGCATTCGTCTTCCAACTTCGCTACGAATTCTTGGAGTGTTTCCAAGTGATCTGCGTCAATTGCTTCGCAACTGACTGCATTCGCGTCGTTGATCTGGTCCGATTTGGTAAGACATAGCATAGTCCGTCCAGATCCTCGAGCAAAATAGCTTTTGTTCACTTCCTTCCGCAGTAGCTCATCGTCTGCTGCACGGCCAATCTCGCCCACTACGATACAGTGTGTACACCGTTGTAGATGATTCAAAGCATTTTCAGATCTGATCTTGTTCGGATCTGTGATTCCAGGTAAATCAAGTATGCTGATGTTGCGCAATAGTCTGTTGCTCAGTCCAAACTTGATGTGGCTGACGAGCGGCCAGAAAGAGACCAGCTGCTTTCCTTTCTCCTCAAAGGTTCTCATGTACCTTGAGAGCTTGTACTGTAGACTCTGCGAAGTCGAGCCCTGTAGGAAGACGTACTCGTTCTCGTGAAGGAGTTCTGTCATCAGGTCCTCCGTCAGGTCGCAGAGCTCATCTCCAATCTCGTCCTCGCCCTCGATGTCAGCACGTGCAAGAAAGAGTTCAGTGTTCTCCCTAGTGCTGAAGTCGTCGTGAATGAAGAGGAGTGCCATGAAAGCGTCGACGGTAGCTTGCTTGACTGCATGATCGTGGATAATGTGTGTGAGGTCGCGTTTGCCCTCCATGGCATCGTCGTTGGTTGTTGATAGTGCCTCACGGTACGATTTCAGCAGTGCTCTGATAAGAGCCTTGCGGTCCTCTTGACCATAGAAATGTACCTCAGCCGCGTAAGGTTTAGTCTGGTCAAGCAACTTGAAGCAGAACTCCTGAGTGACCCACGTGCAGCTGTAACCTTCATCGCCCTCCTTACCAATGGTCTTGTTCAGGATCGAGTTGGCTGTAGCAGTTTTGCCTAGATCTCGTCAGCGCCGCTGGTTTTGCACGAGATGTCTCTATCTCACCAGCTTGCATGGCACCATTCAGCGCGATACACACTTCTTCTGGGCATTGTGACTTCGTCCGCGTCCTAAATTCCTCCTTGAGGCCGTTGACGACGTTGCTGATGAATTTGCTCAGGTTGATAGGACCATAGAGTTCATGAAGGAGCCGCCTGACGAGACGCTCAATCTCAAGGAAATCTTCGCGAAACACGGGTGAGTCTGGCATCGGTTCATTGGCGGCATCGTATGGTGGCACAACAAGGCTGTTGTCGCCAACACCGCTTGCTTTTGTCTTCTTGGTGTCGCCAGGAGCGTCCACCTCATCGTGCGGACGCTTCACACTCATACTGTACGGAGTAAGTCTTGAGCAAGGGCGGGAGGTAGGTTAGTTCGATTGAGTCTTGGGTTGGGCTGTGCAAGAACAAGACTAGGTTGAAAAGTGGAGGTAGAGAGGTTAGGGTAAGAGCGGCCTGGTGCATGGTGACTGATCGCATGCTCGGATCTATGGAGTGCTTTCACAAGCAAATCTGTTAGATTTCACGCCCGTGATGCCCGTGGAGCTCTTCACTTGCCGAGATCATATGCTGGAAGAGCACGGTTTACTATGACTAACATGTCAGCGACATGTCACAAGCACGTGCAAAAGTGGAAAAGAAAAGAAAAGACCACCTCTTTTCACATGATCCAGCATGTGGGCCTACCGTGCAAATGGTTATATAGAGTGAAGTGACGTGCCAGGATGCAGCATATTATCTCCAGAAATCAGGCTGGCGTCAAGTGATCGAATGTCAATTCCTGAGTATGCGTCACCCTGTCTCCTTCTCAGACCGGCATGCGTCGCGTTTGTCTCGTAGCTCGGTGGTGTGTTTGACGCTTGGGTCACGACGTCCTTCGGAGAAAGGTGTCGGCAGGTGTGGAAGGTAGTAGTGGCGACTGCTGTACGAATGCGAAAGGAAGTCATATTCAGAACCAACGAACCTTCCTCCGGAGGGCCTGGGAAAGAGGCAGGCGTCACAATCGAGAGCAAGGGAGTCGGATATCGCAGCGCGTGTAAAGTCGTAAGCAGTGAAAGAGCACCAGTATGAAGTGCAGCGGCAACGAGAGCCATCAAGATCGTGTAAGTATCGAGGCATATCCTAATTTGCCTTGCCGCCAGGACGCGCAACGCGTCGCTTGTGCAGCACACCTTCGCAGTAATGTGTGAGAGGACAGTCATTGCTGAAAGCTTTGGAGCAAGTAGAACACCAATGAGTCTTGTTCGCTTTTGTTGCAGCACGTACAGCTTTGACAGCTACGGCAGACTTCGTGATCGGTCCCTTGAGCACGCCGTCGACGACATCCTGATGAGCTTGAGACTTGAGATATTTTTCCAGGGCTTCCGAGCTCTGCAGCGTAATCTCACCGTCTGGACACTCATACTGCTTCGAAGCATGAACCTTCGCTCGGTTGGCAGCAGATCGTGCAGCCTCCTTCTCGCGATTCTCGGCATTTCATGCATTCTTTGAGTCTCGCACATACTTGCGATATGCTTCCGGGTCCTCATTCACCTTGCGAGCACGGTACTTTCTGCTTCGTGCGTTGGCGTTCTCAAGCAGGCGAGCAGCACGGCGAGCAGCAGCGATCTCAAGCTCTCAATGCCCGTGGAGCTCTTCACTTATTGACATCTTTCGCTTGAAGAGCACAGTTCGCTCACGACCGACAGAGTCACAAGCACGCGCGAAAGTGGAAAAGACCATCCCCTTTGTGAAGTGACGTGACAGCACGCAGCATATGCTTCCAGAAATCCGAATGGTGTCAAATCGAATGTCGATTTCTGAGTATGTGTTACGTTCGAGAACACTGGAGTCGTTTAGCTTGATAGGGTCTTGTCATATCATATGTGTGAAAGTTCTGAAAGCATAGTAGTTCCACTCAACAGATCAGATCCTATCTAGATCGCGCAGAGCCTGCCGTGGCTATATCTCGGTGGATTCTCACAGGGTAATGGTCAAAGAATGTGATGTATGCAGTCCTAGCTGCAAGTCGTGACATCCATCGCGGACGAGCCTGTTGTCCCTATTTCGCGTCGAACAATGCATCCGCAGCCGGTTTGACCTCAGTAGCCAGCTTTTCATTCGCCAACACAAGCATCTTCTGTAGCTTCTCGCGAAGCTCGATCTCGTCTGGATCATCGACTTCCTTGGCCGAGCACATGACGTGGAACTTATCCTGGAGTCCCTTAAAGAAGGTGTCAGCCGCCCCAAGCAGAGCTGCCTCATGCTTGCGAAGAATCTCTTCAAGTTGCTGTTTGACAAGTCTGTGGGCCTTCATCCAGACACCATTGTCGATCTTGATCACATCGGTTTCGAAGACGCGCGCGCGATCTTTCGGCGTACCGACTCTGCCCTTGATGCTCTGTGCGTGGTCGTAGATCGGTTGCATGGCAATCACGATGTGATTGTCAGCATTGTCGCCTGTGACAGCTCCTACGACATTACCCAGGTCTCTGCGCAAAACTCTGACGCTTCGATCAACGAAGTTACCTATGTTCCCTCTTTCTTGGAACAGGTATTCGAGATATGGCTGGAGAGCCATCAGTTTGACCTGTGGGTCGCTCTTGATCTTCAACATGGTCTCTCCTAGAAGTCGATAGAGCTGTTTGGTTATGTTCTTTGGAGCTTCGTTGACGTTCCTCATGAAATCGTCAAAGAAGCTACGCACTTCTGACGAACGAAGTGAAATGAGTTCACCAGTCCAGGACGTATCAGCTGCGTTCTTTCCGCGGCCCTTCTTGTGCCCATATCTTTTGAGCAAAGCTAGATGTTGTGGTGTGCTGTATGATTTCGCCCAGCCCTGGAGAAGCTCTTGCGCTTCACCTGACCAGTCGAATTCTTCGCCGCGGATCTTGTCCAGAACTTCTCCTTCAATTTGTTCGCTGAACCCCTTGAAGATTTTGGCCACTATCGATGGGATTCGATTCTGTGGCTCGATGATCATACTCTCCACTTCATCCTTGCGATCGAGGTGAGTCTTGGAGACATACATGCTGAAGCACGAAAGAAGAATGGGGAGCTGGGTAGCCACCATGTGTCTCGCTTCGTTCAACTTCGCTTCGGCGGGCGCAAGAAGGAGGTGCTTCCGCAATGCTGGGATGTTGGTGCCCTGCACAGTGAGTGCCGGCTGGTTGGGATCGTCAATACTGAATCCAGCCTGATACTTTTTGTAAGCTGCATTACCGACGCAGAAGACCGGGAGTTTGTTCGGATCGTTGGTAAGCTCCGCATACAGTTCTTGCATTTGAAGGCAGACGACATGACTGCGCATATGAATGCGACGTTGTCGATGCTCCCTAGTCCGCGCATTGATGTCCGCAACAAGCATGTCTCGCTCCGCCATGAATGGATATTTCGCCGCGCCTCGCGCGAATCTCACCTGAGACACTGCCTTGTCCTTGCTGTGCTCCAATCGCTGAATCTCGTCCTCCAGATCTCGCAAGAATTGGAAGTCTTTCGTGGTGCCAGTGACGTCGGTTTCATCATCAATGGAATCAGAATGGGTGAGGACCAGGATTGTCCTCGCATCCCCTCGCGTGACTTGCCCTCTCTTCAGTGCATCTCGAATGAATTTGTCGTCATCGGCACGACCGATTTCTGCAACGACCATGTAATGTGTACAAAGCTGAAGATGTTTCATCGCATTTGCCACACGGGTCTTGTTGGCGTCGGAGAGTCCAGGGAGGTCGACCAGAGTGATATTGTGCTTGAGTAGAGCCACATCGAGCCCGAACTTAATGTGGCTGACCAGAGGCCAGAGGGAAGGATTTGGTTCGTCGTCACGCTCCTCGACCGTTGTCATGAACGGGGCCAAATGCCAGAGCAGGGTCTGCGTAGTGGCAGCATCCTCAGAGATGAATGCTTCCTCTCCCAAAGTCTCTGACATGAGCTCATCGGCCCATTCACATAGAGTGTCAACGATGTGTTCATCATCTCCAGAAGTAGCTGCAGAGAGGAAGCCATTCGCTGCAGACGTAGTGTTGAACTCGTTGTGCTTGATAAAGAGAGCGCGAAAAGCTGTTATGACCGTGCGTTTGACAGCGAAGTCCTCTATGCTCTGATCAGTACTCTTGGAGCCCTCAGTAGCCTCTTCATCCCCGTTGCAAGCTCGGCAGTAGTCGCTAACCAAGTTCCGTATGATCTCATGTTGTTCTTCTTGCGAGAAGAAGAAGACCTTGGCAGCGAATGGTTTCTCCTGCCCTGGGAAGAGATAGCCAAACTCCTGTACGACCCAAGTACAGCTGCTACCAGCATCGCCCTACATTTATCAGCCGAAAGAACGATTTTGTGTAGAGTGGGCACGAACCTGACGAGCAACCATACCGAGACTGAGTATGGAGTTGATCACTGAGCTCTTGCCTGGATTTCGTTAGCTCATATAACAGCTGATCCGTAGCAGGGCACGTACCTGACTTCATGTCACCGACCAGAGCTATTCTGACTTCCTCCGGGAAATTGCTCGTCGTCCGTTGCTTGATCTCGGCGAGTAGGCCCGCTACTGTGGCATCCTGATATTTGCTATTTTTGAGGGGCTCTTCCAGCATACCTACGATGGCATCTGTGCCATCCATGAGGTTGCGGTATTGCTCTGAGAAATAAGGAGAGGACGGAGTTCCTTCTTTGCTGACATCGTGCGGTGGAACAATGTCATCGCTCTCCTCAGCAATGACAGGTTTCACATCTTCGCCCTCATTAATGTCTTCGAGCGGACGCTTCATCTTGATCTGTGTGACAGCCTGTCGACAGACTTTGCGCTATTTGTCAGTGGTCCTGATGGTAATCGAAAGGAGTTGCAATAGTGGTTTGTGACTGAGTTGTTGTGGTGTTGGGTGGAAGACCAGAAACAGAGCGGGAGCTGGAGGTGCTTTTTGTGCTTCGATGGTACGATTGCCAATTCTCGGTGAAGGTCGAGTGAGAAGCAGAGCTCAGAGCTCCATCCTCACAGCGAATATGGAGCGTCCCGGTTCGGCGACTGGAGTTCCGGTGAAGTAGTCACTTTGGGAATGTGACCAGCAATCGGGAGAGCGCGTCGCCATTACAGCCATCCCGCTACTTCACTTGGCCCGTGTTGATGACCCCGTAAAGGCCATCAAATCTCGAGCGGGAGGAAAGGTCGCTTGGTCGTCGCAAGACTGCGCGGAAGTGAAGTTATCTTCCCTTCATATGATGCAGCATGTGATCATGCTGTACATGGCGGTAGAGAATGGAATGGCGTGATACGAACAGCAGATGCTTCTCAAGAGTTTGGGCCCAAGTGATCGAGTATCGACTCCTAGGCCTCATCGTTCCGCGCGTAGCATGTGAAGGAGACTGAGTTAATGTCCCGAGCGAAAGGTTACCCGCCATAATCCTGCGTGATCTGTTAGAGTAATGGAAGGCGAAAAAGAGGACTCCGAGCAACTCCATTACATTCTGTTCACTGTACATTAGCAGCAACCACCCGCAATACCAGCCTTTTTGGCCGCATTCTTGTCCGTCCTAGCCAACTGCACCCCTCTTCCAGCATTGCCTCCTCCGGCGCCAGGTCCCTTCACGCCACTTCTTCGATCGTTCAAATCATATTTGCCAGCTTCAATGTTCTGATATATCCGCTCCGCGACCTCGAGGAATGCCCTCTCGACATTCTCTCCACTCTTCGCTGATGTTTCCACATACTGCATAACTTTGTTCTCTCGACACCACTCTTCCGCTTCTTCTTTCGTGACTTGCCGCTTGTTCGGCGCCGAGCTGTCGCCTGAGACTGTCGAAGAAGCAGCGAGATCGCTCTTGTTCCCTACCAGCACGACGATGATGTCGTCCTCTGCTATCTGCCGTAGGTCATGCAGCCAAGATGTGACCGAGGCGAACGTGCCCCTTCGCGTGATGTCAAACACGAGAAGAGCACCAGAAGCTCCACGGAAGTACGACCTCGTGATGGACTTATACGTCTCCTGCCCTGCGGTATCCCATAATGAGAGCTTCATGTGTTTCTGCACTGGCTCTTGAGGTTTCGCTTTTGACTTGGCATTGTTGGCTGGTGTCGTCGCGGGTTTGGGCGCAGATGCGGGGTTATTGATGTTGTACTCGAGACTCGCGGGAGGACCGACAGGCACTATGCGCGAGCCAAACTCTACGCCGATGGTCACGTCGTGGTGACTGACGAAGCGTCCTTCGCAGAGGCGGATCGTCAGCTACGGCAATCAGCGAAATGCTGAGAAATGGAAGGAGAAGGAGGACACGCGACATACACTGCTCTTCCCGCTACCGCTATCTCCGAGACTGACGATTTTGGAAATGTAGTCGTAGCCCACCGTTTGCGCCATCCTGGCGGCTTCAATGTGGTCGTAGTGCTCTTCAGTACAGACTTCGGTCGTCTCCGATGTTCACGAATAGGGACAGTTCGGTCGAATAGCACGGAGCGCAGGGCGGTAGTGGTGGTAGTGGAGTAGCGAGGCGATGTTCGGTGGTGTGTTGTCGATAGCGGGCAGCTCCAGCGTCGACTGTCGTGCCATGACGCGCGATCACGTTCACATGACAAAGGCAAACCCAAAGCTTCCCGTCGCGTCCGCCTCTTTCCCTCGTCGACTCTTGCACAAGACAACACATCGTGACACGGGAGAGCGCCGGAGCACAGAACGTGCCAGACTAAGCCCGTGGAGGGCAGAAGCATGCTACGCGTATCAACCAGTGGTAACGATGCCGTAAAGCACATGCTCAGTAAGCTTTGCCATGACAAGAGTCATTCACTTTGCATTCCCATTCACCCCTCCTCCGCCTCCATACATTCGCTTGACTCACCCAGCTCTGCCTTCCTCATTACATTCTAGACTTCTTCCGTCTTTCCTTCATTCCTCCAAACCGAATACACTCGCTACCACCAGAGTTATACGCACAATGACAGCCGACACCACGCCTGCTGCCAATGGGGCAAAGAAGCCCGTGGTCTGCGTATTGTGAGTAGATTATTGATTTCCCTGACCAAAAAGTGTTTGATACTGATACCTTTCGCCAGCTGCGGTGCCTCCGCCGGGAACTCGCCTGCCCATCTCGCCGCTGCCCGCGACCTCGCCAAAGCCTTCCACGAGAACGGAATCAACCTAGTATATGGTGGCGGGACTGTAGGCGTCATGGGCGAGGTTGCCAAAACCCTCGTGTCCCTTTCTGGTCCTTCATCAGTCCACGGCATCATCCCCGAAGCACTACTCAAATATGAGCGCAAGGGCGAGAACGGAGAGACTGTCTCGCTGGAGAAATTGATCGACGAGAAGCTGTACGGCAAGACGACAGTTGTCAAGGACATGCACGAGCGAAAGGCCATGATGGCCAAAGAGGTCATTGAGTCTGGTCCTGGGGGCGGATTCGTGGCTCTCAGTGGAGGCTATGGAACCCTCGAAGAGCTGATGGAAGTCGTGACATGGAATCAACTCGGCATCCACGCTCGAGGCGTCGTTGTCTACAACGTGGAAGGCTACTGGGACGGTCTGCTCCAATGGGTCAAGAAGTCCGTGAATGAGGGTTTCGTGGGGGTGGGCAATGCCAACATTATGGTCGAGGGAAAGACGGCCGAAGAAGTTGTGCAACAACTGAAGGACTACAAGAACGCAGAGGGGAGGTTCAAGCTGAACTGGGGCCAGAAGTGAAGAACCAGGCAGGATACGGTCCTGGAGTCGGCTTCGCAGGGTGGCATTGCCTTTCTAACATAGCGAGGCGTTGTGGGTTTAGACAGGGATGCGACATTGGCGCTCAGAATGCAGAATGGGGCATCGAGCACTTAGCACAGATTACGACGAGAAGTATGAAATGAAAGAAAATACATGAACGTTCTGCAGTACGGCGATTCTTTTCAACGACTGAAGCCTGCCTCCGAAAGTATATCTGATCATGCCAGGTCGATTGCTATGACTCGGCTGCCCACTTGTTTGAAGAACCAAGGATGCAGCAGGTTGATCACACTTGAGAATTTATTTCAGAATCGGTAGATGCCGCATGTGACGGCAGCAGCGCTAGACAAAATGTGTGCATGATTCTGCCATTTACATACTACAGCAGCACTCAGTATCCTTCGATGGGACCTTGCCAAGGCTCTTCTAACACCGGCTCATCCACCATTTCTTCTTCCCTCAAGAGTTCCATCTTCTCAAGTTCACGCGTGAAGTAATCGAGCTCCTCCTCGAGCATTCCCTTATCGACGCCCATCACCTCTGGGAAATTCCGAACATTCCACCAATGCGTCAGCGCTCGCAGACTTTGCTCCAGCGGCAGAGCGTCCTCGACAGTGCCATCGACATCACCAACACATGCACCTCCCATACCTCCTCCGCCGCCGGACAACCAATCATCACGCAGCTCTGCGGGGACTGAAAGCCAAACAGCGGTGATGATCTTCATGTTCCCTTGGCGCCACTTGCGGCCGCAGAAGGGTACTTGAGATTTGAACAGCTTCAGTGTGTAATAGCGAAGCATCTGAATTGGAATCTTGAGCGTCTTTTTGAGGTGGTTTGAGCTCTTGTAGCTCACGAGCAACAGTGCCCGGTGGGTCTTGCGTCTGGTCACTTTCTGCAGTACGCGAAGATAGTTTATGGCGCTGAAGACGTTGCGATAAGAATAGCTCTTGAGCGGCGTGGCTGGAAGTGCTGTCTGCGGGTAGCCAAGCTCATCGATCTCCGGAGGATGGGCGAAATCTGGGGTTTCAAATGTTGGTGATAGGACTTGCTCGGGCGGATCGTCTCGTTTCAGCTTGATGGGTGGAGGCGCGGCCTCGTCTTCGGATTCTTCACCGGCGTCTCTTGTCGTTGGCGAGATCTTTGCTGGTGGGCCTGTGCGGGAAGTAGCCTGGCAGAAGTAGAAAAAGTTGCGGTCTTCTCGATCCAAGCGGAAGTGGCAGGCTCGACCGATCTCTTGCGTCTGCCAGAGCTTGAGGATCAGAGGTACGTAGTTGGAGTCCAGTAAAAGCTGTGTCATGTATTCATATTGCAAGATGTGCGATACCTTGAACCACTTCAGTAGCAGGAGCAGAATCGCGCTCAACGCCTTCGCAGCGATCTCCTGCGAACGTTGTTTGTCGAGTTCCTCCATTGTATTTTCAATCCCGTCCGTGTGGCCGTTTATGCCGTTCTCGCCTGTTTTCGTGCCGTTCACGCCATTCGTGTCGTTGAATTGAATGCCAGCTTGCAGCCCGTTCTGACCATTACCCTTAGTAACAAGGTCGGTAACATTCTGCAAGACTGCCTTGAGCAACACTATCACCACGCTCTGCAGATGTGGTAGGGAGTCATGGTAGTAGTCGTTGACTTTGGTCAATCGCCGCTGCTCGTCGGTCTGCGGTATTGGTTTGCCTTGCTCTGCTGTCTGTGACGGATCGGGTGTTGACAAAAGCTCGAAGTCGTCAACAACAGGGGCCTGTTCATCATCATCAGGCTTCTTCCATCCTCGTTCTTGCTTCATGAAGTCGACACGCGCCTCCCAGAGCTGCTTCATAGCACGAGTTGCCCGCATGCGTTTGGCGAACAGCTCGGCGGCCTCGAGGATACTGGTGGGAATGTCAGCACCATCCCACCTCCTCCCAACGAGAGCATCTTGTAGCTCAGTGCTACCCTTCCCACCAAGGTCATTGCTACTGGCATCGAGGGGCGGGTACAGAAAGGGAAACATTTGGTTGGTCTGGTAGTTTTGCTTCTTTCCGGCCTTACCAGGGCCCGCAGGAGAAGGTGGTGGAGAAGGTGCTGGCGTTGCTATGTGCACAGGCTGATGCATGATGGACGATGTGCCTACCGAGGGCGCTCCAGCATACGCTACCTCTGGTACCGTGGCGTAGCTTGGCCGACGGTGCTTCAGTGGTGGCAGAATACTGTTATTTTCAGGTTCCAGGGGGAAAAGCGGCGGAGGAGGTTGATATGCTGGGTACTTTGAGCTGATCTCTTGCCGAAACAGATGGTAGTCCAAAGGAGACGCTGTTATCAGCGGCTGTCCGCGAGTGTCTTTTTCCACCTCGCTCGTCTCTTTCAGTGATGACTTGACCCTCTCAACATCTGAAATCCCCCCAAGTGTAATCAGGATCGCTTTCCAGGCGAGGAGAAGCATTTTCGTCAGCGGTATCGGCGCGTGTTCGTCCCAACGTAACCTGGCAACGGTTTGGGTGAGATAGTTCAGGAAAGTGGGCTGAAGTGCCAGAATGTCTGATTTTAGTACCTGTCCATTGCCTGCAGTTCTGGCGACTTCGACAAACAAATACATGAGTGTCAAGCAACACCACAAATCCATGCTTTCATCGCCGCGTCGAGATTGAGATTCGTTGCGCGACGACATATCCGGGACAGAATTTTGGAAGTCGCGATCACATATCTGCCGAAGTGTGTCGTATATGGCTACCAGACCGCCGCTGGAGTGCAATGTATCGACCATGGCGACAATCCATTGCACTTGAAGGCTCGAAAATGAGTACTCATCGAGCCTCGATCCGCCAGAGGTGCTGTTCGGGAACAGATCTTCCAATGCACAACCTTCTCGACGCCCTGCTGTCTCTTCCCATATGCCCAGCCCGACGTAGGTCAACGTCATGAGAGCTTTAGTGACCTCTTCCGGTGGCGCCTCTTTCTGTTGCAAAGCAGCAATTTCGGCTTTGGTGAAAGCCCTTCGCGCATCCTCAGTGACGTCCAACCAGTCAACCTTGCCCTCCTCGCTTGCCCTCCACTCATCGTTGAACACTGATTTGCACCTCCGAAGCCTTTGCAACTCATCTTCGCTGTAGCTGAACCACTCCTCCAACTCCACCGGAAATGATTGTGCGTCTTGGTAGTCGAAGTCATACACTTTCTCATCCCCCAGCAGCTGCTGTTTTGGTGGAACCTGAACGTTGGGAAATGTGTTCCGTATTCGCTTCAAGTCGGCCAAAGTCAGACTATCGGGTGGTTCCTGTGTGAAGTCGGGCGGGTCTGACGGCTGCCCTGGAGGCGCTGGTGGAGGTTGCGAAGGAGGTGGGTTCGAGGGCTCGCGTATCAAGGCCGGACGAGAAGGCACAGGAACAGCAGCTCGAGATGCGGGTAATGCGGGCTTCGCAGTCGGATCAACGCTCTCCAATACTATCTCGGCCTCTGCTGTGTCTACTGGCGCTGTGACCGCAACGCCAATAGCATCCGCTGCATCTTGCGACTCGTCCGTTGGTCTCAGAGTGGGACTCGCCTCGCCTGCTTTGGGCAGATTGGGGTTCTCGACCTCGTCCATGGCAAAGAGGCTACGGAGGCGTCAAGGGTGATGTTGTGACCGCAGAACGCGGAAATTAGAAGGTCTTCACTCCATGGTACGCGATGTAGTGAGAGGCGTGGAAAGGAAGAAGCTCTGGACGCGAAGCTATTTCTGAAACACCCTCGACCACGCTGTGGCTGAACGTTCCTTCCAGTGTGGCTCAGCAGTCGGGGGCGTTTTCACTCTGCCCGCCGGAGAATAGATTAGCACCACGCGGCCATACCACGCCATCATGCTCATTGCATCAAACTTCTGCGACACCAGACCATCTCCGGCAAGACTCACAGGGAGCAATGTAGACGAAGGGTATATCACCGGCGACATGGCTTATCTGCAAGAGGCATGCAGGCGGTCAGCATCGCGAAGACAGGACCCAATGTCTGTCAAACAGGCTCTCGCTGGGAAGCAAAATAGAAACTCGCCTCCGATTCTACGCCTTCAACACTAGGTCTACTGCTACTGTAGAGAGATCTAAGCATGTTCTTGCTTCTCATATCTCTGCATCCTGCGGATCAGTCAAGAAATTCGGTGTGCCGAAGGGATAGGCAAAAAGTTAAGATCGCGAAAGACGGAAGTTACGAAATCCCATTTTGCTGTCCACAGCTGGGCAGAGTATTGCGGTTCCGGAGCTCTGTCGGATAGTCAGATGTCATGATTGCTGCAGTTGAGCCAGTTCTGCTGGGTCCAGACAAAGCCAGGTCTGGCGAAACCATCAAGATGAAACATCACCCAAACCACAACCAGTGAAGACGAAAAATCCATCGCCACGGCATCGCTTAGCCGCAGCACTTCAGCCTAACACGCCCATGGCAGGGCTGCTGCAGTGTTGGACCCATTCTTCTCGTGCTTCTGAATGATGAAGGCACGTCTGTGGTCACACATGTGGCGAGGTAGGTGTCTTCATATACTCTCATGCAAGGCATCTTTTCTTTGACTTAAATCAATCGCTCTCTTCCTACCCGTGCTTCGCTCACCACTCGTCTTTACATTCATTGGCAGGGCACCACTCCCTCACTCGGATATGTTTTCAGTACTCGTTGTTCTCGCAGCCGCTGGCTCGGCTGCTGCATCATTTTCTGGCAAAGCTACTTTCTATGGCGGCAATACCAAAGGTGGAATGTGCTCTTTCAGCACATACACTCTTCCTCAGGGTATATATGGAACGGCACTTTCAGACAGCAATTGGGCTGGGAGCGAAGCATGTGGCGGATGTGTTCAGGTTACCGGACCAAACGGCAAGAAAATCACTGCTATGGTATGCTCATCAAAGCCCGAGAGTGGTCGACGCTGACTTGATACAGGTTACTGATCAATGCCCCGGCTGTGGCGCGAACCATCTCGATCTGTACTCCGACGCATTCTCCAAGCTTGCGGACCCAAGCAAAGGCATCATTGATGTGACTTGGGACTATGTCGAGTGTCCGATCTCTGTGAGTTCAGCGACAGTTTCGGTGCGGCAGCACGCGAACGCTGACCACTTCTAGAAACCACTACAAGTTCACATGAAATCTGGCGTCTCTGCCAATTGGTTCTCTGCTCAGGTCGTGAATGCCAACAAGGTAAGCTGCACTCAGTTTTCGAGGCATACTCTTTGCTAACGAGACCCCAGCGCATAGCAGAACTGGAATACAGCACGGATGGTGGCAAGACCTGGAAGGGCGGACTTTCCCGACAGCCATATAATTTCTTCCAGCTCTCCTCCGGCACCGGAACAAACATAGTGGCGGTCAGGGCTGAGAGCGTTGATGGCGACAGAGTCGTCGTGAAGGATGTCAAGGTGACGAGCGACAACTTGGTGAGCCGCAATTGCAGACATCTATCCAAGCTGTGCTAACATCACCAGGTCACTGGGCAAGCCAATTTCCAAGCGCGAGAAATTCAGTCCGACGTGCAATGGTAGGTCATTAGGAGCTGGCAGGATCCATGCTCTAGCCTTGGAGCTAAATAGAGGAAATCGAGTCATCGATTTGGTGTCATACATATGTTGCAGAGCAGCTACCATACCTGTAGACCGCGAAATGGAGAATGAGAAACATGCACACATTGCAATCTCTCGTTGCGACCTTGAATTCGCGCCCACCTCGCTTCTCGCGACGAAGTGCCGCGGCTACATTGCGCACGGCAGAGATACGAAGGTCCCAATCCTCACGTAAGTGCGTGCTACATAGAGATCGAGCAGAGTATGCAAAATGCAGTCTTGAGGTTGGTGCCACTGCCGATGTAGATGCGAGGGAGCTATTCCTCCTTGGTCAGGCATACAACGTAGACACCCCATGTTGATTTTTTCGGGTCAGGCAGAGCGAGGAAAGTCTTGAAAGACGGCGGCGTCGGTGAGAGGCGCAGAGCTTCAACCTCGGGCGGATGTTCGAGAGGACACTCTTCGGCAATGTTGTCGACTTTTTCTTTGGACCCAAGTACAGTCTTGAACTCGGGATTCACGTACCACGTCGGAGCATCGACATTCATAGGGTCGTGCGTAAGTCGTATGAATTTTTCCAAAGCGGTAGTGCCATCTCGCCAATTCCAGCTCCGTATAGTGCTCAGGTTCGTTCTGGGACTTCGGTACTACAGTAGGCGTCTTGCTTCCTTTCAATATTAGCTGAGATGCCGCAGAGAGTGCGTGGCAGGTCTCATGCTTCATGTCTTCCGGCAATGAGAGCCAATTGCAGAGTCTACGGCTAGGCAGACAGATGTGTAGAGTAAGTGCACCTCAGTCTAGTTGCGAACAGCAAAATGGGAATACGGAGACACCAGCGCTTCCGTATCTCCGCAAGCTTGGCTGTTGCCTGTCTTTCTTCGGTACACAGAATGGCTCAACTACGCCGCAGGAGGCAGAGATACAAGGGGCAAAGACATGCTTAGGTCCCTCTGGCAGTAAACGCAGTATCGAAGACGTGTAACCAGAGGCCAATCTTCATTTTGCTTTCCGGCGGAAGCTCAGTGTAGGAGGAGCGTGTTTCAACGCGTCGGGAATGCGATGGCAGGACTTGTAGGTAAAGCGCGATGCAGCAGACTCACATACTCCATAAGAAGTGACGTCCGTGGTTCTTATGGTGTTGCCATTTGTGCGATGTTTCGTGTCAACGAGTTCGCCAGACCTGGTTTTCTCTGGACCAAGCAGAACTGGCTCAACTGCAATGAGAACGACATAATGCCGTGATACTCAGTAGCGACATGTCAAATGTTCAAGTGTGTCTCCATGTTCTCTCAAGATTGGGGGTACTTGGCAGGCCGTGTGGAATCGGAGCTGAGGATGACAGTGATTGTGCAGGATGCCTTCTGTGCACATGCGACAAGAATGCTGTTCCCAGCCAGCATGTAATAGTGGCAGGCGCGCCGAATCATCGAGTGACAGGCAGCTCTGCACTGCTGTGAGAAGTGAGGCAATGCGATCCGTGAGTGAGAAGAGGTCAGATCCGCCGAAAGCACGGACGCTCCATCTTGGCGAGGACTTCGGGTGCTCTCGGTCGACAAGCTCTTCTTCGACTGCACTCCTTTGCTTTGGACCACCACAGCTACTCCACTCCACAACACCTTTCCATCACCGCAAAGATGCTGAAGAAGTGAGTTCGACACGGCCAATCTATTGCTGGAGCCATTGGAGCTCGAAACTGACGCCTTCCAGCGGCATCGCTCGGTCGCTGCGCGCCTCGGCCTTCCGCCCTGCTCTTCGCCAGCAGGCCCTCAAGCCAAAGAGCTTCGTGCCTGCCATCTCACAGCGATTCGCCTCGAGCGACTCTGCCCGTGATGGCAAGGTTCATCAGGTCATTGGTGCCGTCGTGGACGGTATGCGCGCTCCCCGCCCGCCACGGGAAAAGCTCTGCCGAGCCTGAGCATCTACTAATATGCGACGGCAGTGAAATTCCCAACCGATCAGCTCCCACCGATTCTCAACGCTCTCGAGGCAACAAACGGCGGACAGAAGCTAGTCTTGGAGGTCGCGGTATGGGGAACAGACACAATGTTAGGATACAAGCGAGGATGCGGCGCTAACGCGGCGACAGCAACATCTTGGCGAGAACGTCGTGCGATGCATTGCCATGGACGGAACTGAGGGTCTCGTCCGTGGACAAACTGCCACCGACTCTGGCAACCCAATCTTGATCCCAGTCGGCCCAGGTACTCTTGGCCGTATCATGAACGTCACTGGTGACCCAATCGACGAGCGTGGACCCATCAAGCACGAGAAGAAGCTTCCTATCCACCAGGAGCCTCCGGAGTTCGTCGACCAATCTACATCCGCAGAGGTGCTCGTCACCGGTATCAAGGTCGTGGATCTGCTCGCCCCATACGCCCGTGGTGGTAAGATTGGTCTTTTCGGCGGTGCTGGTGTCGGAAAGACTGTGTTCATCCAGGAGCTCATTGTACGTGCATTTCGGGCACTCAACGAAGTCGACTTGTTACTAACGATGATTAGAACAACATTGCTAAGGCTCACGGTGGTTACTCTGTCTTCACTGGTGTCGGCGAGCGTACTCGTGAGGGTAACGACTTGTACCACGAAATGCAGGAAACTGGTGTCATTCAGCTCGAGGGCGAGTCCAAGGTCGCCCTGGTGTTCGGTCAGATGAACGAGCCTCCCGGAGCCCGTGCCCGTGTTGCTCTTACTGGTGTAAGTACTAAAGCCCGCCATTCCACCTTCACTCTGCATGCAAGATGTTTTGGATCAATCCGGCTTCCTCCCACGGCGCCTCAGAGCTATCCTCGCTCGCGAGAGACAAGACCATTCTGGCTTCAAGGTCTACCGCGGCATCGCGCATCTCGACCCCCGCATCCATTGAGGGCATCTTTCCCACTGGGCTTCCGGCATCTTCTTCGATCGCTCCGCTTGCAGCATCGCTCCGATTTATCGGCCTCAGCACCACGTTGACGCGCGGAGTCACGCGCAAAATCCGGCCTCAGGACCCAAAATTTGCCCCTCGGCTCACCACTTCCCTACACTCCCACCTCACAACACTTCATCAATTACACTACAATGTACCAATGCTAACTGACGTAACCAGCTGACTGTCGCCGAATACTTCCGCGACGAAGAAGGACAGGATGGTGAGCATCTGAACCTTTGTGACCTGGAAAAATCGTCTTCTAACAGATTTAGTGCTTCTTTTCATCGACAACATCTTCCGTTTCACCCAGGCTGGTGCTGAGGTGTCTGCTCTCCTCGGTCGTATCCCATCTGCCGTCGGTTACCAGCCAACTCTTGCCATCGACATGGGTGGTATGCAAGAGCGTATCACAACCACCAAGAAGGGATCCATCACATCTGTGCAGGCCGTGTACGTGCCAGCTGACGATTTGACTGATCCTGCTCCTGCCACCACCTTCGCTCACTTGGACGCCACCACTGTGCTTTCCCGTGGTATCTCTGAGTTGGGTATCTACCCTGCTGTCGACCCTCTGGATTCCGCCTCTCGTATGCTTGACCCACGTATCATCGGACAGGACCACTACGACACTGCTCTGAAGGTGCAGCAAATGCTCCAGGAGTACAAGTCTCTCCAGGATATCATTGCCATTCTGGGTATGGACGAACTTTCGGAAGCTGACAAGCTTACTGTCGAGCGAGCCCGTAAGATCCAGCGTTTCCTGAGCCAGCCTTTCACAGTCGCCCAGGTTTTCACTGGTATTGAGGGCAAGCTTGTCGACTTGAAGGAGACCATCAGCTCTTTCAAGAAGATCATTGATGGTGAGGGTGATGAGCTCCCAGAAGGTGCTTTCTACATGGTCGGCAGCTTCGCAGATGCACAGGAGAAGGGCAAGAAGATCTTGGCAGACCTCGAGAAGTCGTAGATGGCTTGATGTCTGTTTAGATGATGGATGGTTGAGCTCTCTAGCGCTCTACTTGTACAGACTACAAGCGCCAGGAGAGCAAGATCGTAGTAGAGTTGCTTGTAACCGTAGATCTCGAAAGCGTTTCCTTTGTCACCTTACAATTTGTGCCTCGCCGTGTTCGTACCCACTTATTGGCTGCTGATATCAAGCTACAGGCAAGCTTCGCGAGGAGAGAGGAACTGACGACTATGACAACCACACCAGTATCAGTATCACACTACTCTTCGCAACACGACACTTCAAGGTTACATGCATTTCCAGGGCGACTGGGTTGCGAGCGGCAGTAGATGGTCCACGAACTGAGAACAGAGATGTGGTACCAAGAAAGACGACACCTTTTGATGCTTTCTTCGCACCAGACTATCTTCCATCCCTATCAAGCGACCTCTGTCACAAGTTTGTCCCTGTATGCCACAACACTTCTCCCATGCCCAGCACCCCGCATGGCTATATTGTGTCGGTCGATTTGCACACTTTCTGAGACGACCTCCGCCGTTGGCTCGTCTCGCCAGATTTCGACTCTGGCCCAAGTCCCTTGTCTAGCAGCCATCGCAGCCACTCTTTGTGCTTGCGTCAGATCCGCGACCTCGAAGAGAATTACTTTTGCTTCAATCTGTTCCGCTATGGCAAGCAGTTTCGGGTAGAATAGATCGCCGATGTCGTTGTCTGTCATCAATTTCGTGTTTTGTGGTGCGGGCACTAGAGCCTGGACTGGTTCATACTGCCTGACTGATCGCGCGGTGGTGGTCACGAAAGACCTGGGAGATATGTACGGTGGGTTGCAGGTCAGGATATCGAATGTCGGTGGCGAGCTGTCGCTGAGGCGGGCTAGTGCTTGAGCGAGTGGTAGAGGTCCATCATATCTGTCATCTGGGGGCATATCTTGGTCGTCTTTGAGGATATCGGCCTGAACAAAGCCGATGTGTTGCAGAGATTTGGTTCGTGGTAAGCCTGAGCTGTACTGCTTCCCTTGTCTCGCAATTTGATGTATCAGGTTTTCTCTCGCGAGGCTCAGAGCATCACTGGAAATGTCTACGCCTACCATTTCGAGCTGCTTGGAGTTATTTTGCTCATGGGAGTAGAACTCATGGTGGAATAAGAGTGGGATGCAGCCACTGCCTGTGCAGAGGTCAAGTACTCGAAGAGGCTTTTTCTCTGCGGCGATCGACCCCCATTCAGTCGAGACAATATGTGCGAGGTGTGATGTAGATGCTGCTGTCTCCGGTCTACATGTTCCTGAATTAGAGAATGATCGCTATCTACATACTCCTTTATGCTATCACACCTTGGTATCAAAACACCTGGCCGGCATCTGATCTCTAGTTCTCCAAAGTACTCGGACCCTAACACATATTGCAGAGGCTCGCCACGAGCACGGCGATCGATAAACTCGGTCAGCAGACTCGGCTGTCTGCTGTGCCCGATTTGTTGTGATACCGCCACTGCGTGTTGTTTGAGCCATCTGAGTTCATTGCGAGCCCCTTGGAGATCTCTGCAGACCGGTAGAAGCGCCAGCAAAGCCTTGTTGGTATTCCGCGCTTGCCAGATGTCTCGTGGGTGAATGCGTGGCATTGACGGATGCCTGCATGTAAGGCTGCGAGTGAAGGGATGGTTTGTTGTTGCGCTTGTCACTTGCTAGTCAATTTGCCCTGATGGCTCCACTCCACGCGTAGACCCTGCCTGATGCCTGCGCCCCACCACCTGCACCTTTCGCCTTCATCATCGCTCTTCATACCACCGTTACTGCTCATCGCACAACAACATCCTCACAACAACACCGCCTGCGCGAGCGACCATCCAGCACGTCGATCGAAATCATCGCAAAGCCACTGCGAATTGCGCTCGCCGATCCTCTTTGCCCATCGATACTCGTGCGATCTCCGCGCGAGCTGATCGGCCGTCATGAAGCTCACGTTCAAGGATCTGAAGCAGCAGAAGTTCACCATCGAGGCTGAGCCGAGCGACTCCATCGGCTCTGTCAAGGAGAAGATTAGTGCAGAGAAAGGATGGGATCCATCAACGCAAAAGCTCATCTACTCGGGCAAGATCCTGCAGGACGATAATACCATCGAGTCTTACAAGATCGAAGAGAAGGGATTTATCGTCTGCATGACATCCAAGGTGTGTCAAACTTCGTACATAAAAGTCAACAATGTCCATGCTGACACCAATTAGCCAAAAGCAGCTCCTT